CAATTTTAGACGGTCTATTTTCAATTTTGCTTCCTTTATTAGTCGAGTTAAATTCACTTGATATTTTATTTTCAGAATCAGAATTGTCTATCTTTTCTAAATCGTTTTGCAACTTCATTTTAACATGGACTCGCTTTTTAAGAAAAGGTGTCTTTTTAGGAATCAAATGTTGCGGAGATATGCAATTACTAGAATTAAGAGGATCATAATTTGGTAACATTAATTTTATTTGCATTGGATCGTGCGGATTATATTGTACTTTAGGAGGTGCAAATTTAAATTCACCAAACACAAGCTCTAATTTCCGACAATGACGAGTAATTTCTCTAACACATTCCTCCATATCTAATTTTCTTTTTCTTGGTAATGGTACAGGTGGATCTTCTGAATATAAATATAGATCTCGTGGAGAAACCCATGCTCGATCATGTTCACCAAAAAATCGAACATCTACAAAACCTTGAGAATTCATTCGAGGCATAGCTTTTGCAGGCCAAAATGGAAAACCTTTCAATTTAGCCCAAACTAGTGGATGAGGACGACGACATGGTTCAATAAACCACGCTGGTTGTGGTCTCGGCAAATTTCTTCCATGAGCATAACAATCAGGACATGCCTCAATTTCTGATACTTCTTGACGTGCTAATTTAATGATTTGTTTTGCTGCATTTGTTAATTTAGATGTATCGGTGTATACACCACCACCTATATATAATTTGATTTATATAAAACTAATTAATATTTTTCTTATTAATTTAATTTAATATCAATATATATTTATTATGCACATACATGTATTAAATACAATACAATTATGTTGAATCCATTTAGCATCAGCCATAAACGCATCCGTACTACCGTATAATTTAGCTCGAACATTCGATTCTAAAAGACTTAAATCCATTGGCTTTACCACATAATCTAGATAATTTGGAGCTTCAGAAAGTTCTACTGGTTTCCAAAATGGTTCTGACTATAATCAGAAAACTTGAATTCAAAAAATAATAAAATAAACTAATATAAATAAGAAAATAGTACATACACCAGGATATTCCCTCATTCTTTCAACAACATGTTTTAATAATAAACATAATTGATCAACAGATAATTGTGCCATAGCTGTAGAACGTGTTTCTGCATTTTCTGCTCGTAAAATTGCTGCACATTCTCCACATATCCAATTTTGAATAATTGATTGTTGCATTCCTATACATTTGCGATGCCATGATCTAGGACACGCACTACAATGTGCTTCTACTGATTCTTTATGACATCTCCAACAAAATCTATCATTCGTATTTTTTTTCTTTCGTTTAGTTCTTGAGTTATTTTCCTCTAGAAGTACATCTGCTTCTTGAGTACTAAAAAATAATTTAGTTTCTTATTATCAAGTTTATTATTTTATTATTATTATTTAGAATATTAATCTAAATAAAATCTTAATATACTTTATATCAATTTATATTAAATTTTTATAACAATTCATTTTTAAATGAAATTAAATAAAAAAATAATATAAATTACAAATAAACATTGTCTATACTTACGTAATACTTCGTCGTGTCCTTTTTAAATTATTTCCACTTTTACTTGTAACTTCTTTTATATTTTCAGTTTTAATTATTTTAGAATCATTTTCAGAAGAAAAAGAAATAATATCCAACTTTTCACTATTCTGTCCATATTCTACTTTATTTATGTTACATTTGATATCTTTTTTATTATTTTCTAAAATAATTACATCTTCCTCATTTTCATATTTCTTTTGATCACAATTTTTAATATGCAATGCATCTTTAATATCATTTTTTATGTCTATAGTAGTATCTTTACTTGTTTCTTTATTAACAATATCAATATTTTGTTCTTCTTGAACATTTGTCAATTGTGAGTTTTCTTTTTGTGATTCAGATATAACTGAACTTTGCAAATGTAAAGAATTTGTAAAACTTTTTTGTGCTTCTATTGATGTCATTTTGACTCATTGCATGCATTTAGTTGCATATCTATTTAAAAATAATATTAAAAAATATATATATATATATTATAATTAAAAATTTATATGCAGATATAAAATGTTATTTATATATTCAAAGGAAATATATTAAATTAAATTATTTAATTAAATACAATATGTAATATTAAAAAAAATATAGAACAAAAATATAATAGACAAGATTATGTTAATACAAAAAATAAAAAGTAAAAGATCTCAAAAAATAAATTATAAATAAAAAAAACATTACATAAAATAAACTTTGTTTATAAAAAAAACATTTATCAGTTTTTTTTATGATTATTTCAATAAAAAATATTTTAATTGCTATTAAGACTATGAAACATAAATTTTTTAAATATTTTCAATAACATTTATTTTTGTAGTTAATATATGAAATACTTTGATTAAATAGTTTATATTAATCAAGAGCAACAAATATAATATTATTTATAATAATATTGTTGTATTATATATTGATTAACAATAATATGATAGAATATACAATAACAGTAAACTGAATATAGGGGTTTTAAACTATATCCAATACTATAATGTGAATAGACAAAACAATTACCATCTATAGAATTCAGATAAGAATCTGGAAATAAAATTAATAAAGATGTCTTTTCCTCAATAATCTCTGTAGCTTTCAAAATGTGTTCAATAAATCAAATAAATCACTTTCAATAAAAATCCCAAACAACATGGATAAGCGAAATATATCACTTACTAACACGACATTGCATCAAAAGCATGAACATTCTTTCCCCCTCCAATATACGAGGCTTCTTACTACTAGTGTCTCCATCCTTCGGTAATATTTGTAGTTAACTATAAAAAAACCACGTGATATTTGAAATTTACAGATTATTATAAGCATCGTTTGTCAACTTTTTTATATTTTTAATATTAAAACTCAATATTACATTTAATAATTTAATACATACCTATAGCCATACGCGGATTTCATTATGCATAAATATGTTTAAATATGTATGCTTTATAATATGTACAAACGATATTTCTTCCATTATTTTGTTTATTTAATTATTATTATATACATGTACATTTCTTGAATATTTATTTGAGAGAGATAAATTCTGTTCCTTTTTTTCGTTAAGAAAAAAAGCTCTTACAAACCATTCAAGTTTAATATAATCAAATATTTTAATTATATACTTTTATGCAGATTGTGTTTTATCGTGATTTAATAAAATCAAATTCTTTTAAGCATTACTAAAATAATATTCTTGCAGTATGACATTTATCATTAATTTGTTACTGCCTTTTTAAAACACGTTTAAATATACCTAATGTATTTAGAATTCGCCAAATATATATATGATAATCAAAATATAGTGCAATAACATTTTGAAACAGTTTAATATTTAATCGCACCATATTTCTGCACAAATACACTGAATAAACATTAAATCACAATATAAAATGTTTCTTCATTTTTATACTAGGTTATGCTGCGCAATGGGTTATACGAACATATGATTATGTGCTTCCCTCTATGAGAGTTTTAATGCAAGACGTGATAAGTTTATAATTATCATGTAAGAAAAAGAAAGTTTACTGTGCATGCAATAAATATATAGTATAGCATATATAGAGCATAAGAAAAATAAACAGGAGTGCGACGATTAATGATTAATTTTTTTAATACATACTAAAATATTAACGTATAAAATATTTTATAAAATCTTATAAAGATTTTTTATCTATTTATTTTAAATCTAATTATAAATTTATGATCATAATTATAAATTATCAAATAAAATTTTTCCATTTAATGATTGATATATAGATAAAAGCTCTAGGTTATGTAGAATTATTAAAATAAATTTATACTTGTTTTTAATATCAACAGCGTTCAATTAAAACATTTAAAATTAGTTTGACACGAAATGGAACTTAGTGACCTAATATTAATTCCGAAAGTCGATAATGTTGCATTAATAGATAAAAGTGATGAAAATGGCAAAAGCATAGATGGAAGATTGTGTATTAGTAGTCACCATCTTCTTTGGTCTTCACGGCAAAGTGATGGTCGAGAACTCTGGGTACAATTTATCACAAAAATTATTTTAATCATTATTTGTTGTCCATGAATTTATGTTCTATGTTTTTTCAATGCTTTGTTTTTAGCTATTATATCGAAATATTGATCTTATAGAGAAAAAATTGAATACTCAAAGTCCAGGTGGTAGTATTATTTTAAAATGTAAAGATTTTCATATTCTTCAATTAGATATTAATTCAACAGAAGATTTAACAAATGTTGTGTTATCTATAGAGATGTTGATGTCACAAGGTGAAATATATAATTTTATTTTAATTTTTATGAAAGTGCATTTATGCACATCTCATGTTAATTTTTACTTTTCTGTTTATCACAGAGCAAACTTTACAATATCCCTTTTTTAATAGACCACAAGTAACTAATAATACTATGATATTAGAAGATGGATGGACTGCATTTACTCCTGTATCAGAATGGTCCAGATTATTAACTACTTATGCAGATGAATGGCGTATTAGTTATTTAAATAAAGACTACAAAGTTTGCAATTCTTATCCTTCTGCTGTTATAGTACCACGTCACATAGAAGATAAAATTATAGTATCATCCGCTAATTTTAGAGATGGTGGAAGATTTCCAATGTTATGTTACAGGCATGAAGGAGGAGTATGCTATTTTTTATTATACAAAATAATAAAATGTACATTAAAAATATATTTACATCCATATATAAATAATTACTAATTTACATTTATATAATGAATATTATAGAGTATCTTGTTAAGAAGCAGTCAACCAATGTGTGGCACTAATGGTAAAAGATGCAAAGAAGATGAAAGATTATTAAATGCAGTTTTAGGTCCAGGAAGACGTGGGTAAATACAATATATTAAAACTTACATTTTAATTAGTCTTAGAAATTTTAAATTATGATTTGATATCAATTTTAGTGTTTAATGATAGAAAATTATATTTTTGCAATCTAAACAATATTATTAATGCAAAATTTGTTAATAGTTATATAATAGATACAAGATCTATTGCACAAGCTCAAAGTTCCAGAGCTAAGGGTGGTGGTACAGAAATGGATACTGCTTATCCGCAATGGCGGAAAGTACATAAAGCAATTCCACGGTCGCATGATTTAGCAGATAGTTTTTTTAAATTAATAGAGGCTTGTAATGACATAACATGTTCTACTTCCCAGTGGATTTCAAGACTTGATAATAGTGGATGGTTATCTGCTGTACAAAGTGCTTTAAATGCTGCTTGTGTAACTGCTCAGTGTCTTCATCAAGAAGTTGCAGCTGTGTTAGTTCATGGTATGCAATCTATAAAATAATTAAAAAAAAAATTATATTAATTATAATATTATTAAATAAAAAGATATATATTGATTAGGAAGTACTGGCAGAGATTCCACCTTAGTAGTAACCAGTTTAGCACAAACAATATTAAATCCTGACTGTAGAACGATACGTGGCCTTCAAGCTTTAATCGAACGTGAATGGATACAAGCTGGTCATCAATTTTTCAGTCGCACACGCCATGGACCATACCATCCATCAAATTCACAAAGTTCAACACATGCTCCAACTTTTCTTCTTTTCCTTGACTGTCTTTATCAACTTCATTATCAATTTCAATTTAGTTTTGAATATACAATACAATTGTTAATTGAATTGTATAATCATGCATATTATTCCAATTATGGAACATTTTTAGGTATATAATACTATATTCTAATAATTTATTTTGACATTTACATAAAATATTTATATATTATGGTTTTAGGTGATTCAGAAGCAGAAAGAGTTAGACTTCGATTATCTGAACGAACATGTAGTTTATGGTCATATATAAATCAACCAGATATATTGGAGAAGTGGTTAAATCCTTTATATGAAAGAAATTCGAGTGTTATTTGGCCCAGTGTTGCACCTATTAGTATACAATTGTGGAAAGAACTTTATCTTGGTCATACGAATGTCGCTCCATGGAAAAATTTACTATCGTGTATAAAACAAATAAAACAAAATCATACGGCAGTACGGAAAGTTGCTAGTCAATTACAAATTCAAATAAAACGAGCAATAGAAGAAATGCGTTCAAATCCTGATATATGTTATGAAGAAGAGAATCAAGATGAACATACCTGTATAGCACAATTAAGCCTAGAATCTCAAAATATCTGATGTAGATTGTAGATATCGCAAAAAGGAAAAAATTCATTTTATATGATATGCAATATTAATCTTTTCTTATTTATAATATAAAATTTATATGTATATAAAAATTTACCAAAAATTTTTATTACAATTTCAGAATTTTTTTTCGTTACATATATTCTCAAGATTTTTAGATTAAAAATCACTTTTGTAATGATATAATAATGTAAATATAAGTAGCACGCATTGACATATATTGTTTATTCATATTATTTATTTTTAAACAATTTGTTATAATATGCATATGATGTATATATTTAAAGTAGGAAAAACAATTATTTATCATTATTATTTACATGATGTAATTGTAATCTTATTTTATTTTCATTCATAATTCGTATATAAATCTTAACAAAAGGAAAAGATGGAAATAGAAATTTAATTACATAAAAAAATAAGATAAATTATATAAAATTAAATGTTACTAATTTTATTTTCGAATTTTATGTTTAAAAATAAAGTAATCTTTAAGTGTAGGGAGAAAGAGGGTAAAGACAAGTTTTTACCGTTACTCGGGAAGGACGATTGAAATACGAGAAGGAAAAGATAGATAGACAAAGATGAACAAAACTGGAGGGGAGGGTTAAGGGCGGCAGGATTATTACTACCAATGAAAAGAGGGAGATCATTGGAGGGGAATATGGCAGGTGTTCATACACAAAGAAACTGAAAGAAATTCTATGGTCATTAGTGTGGAATTCGAATATATATCTCTTGTATATTTTTTTTTCTTATTCTTTTAATCTTCTACAAAATTTATATAAAAAAGTAATTTTATAATAAGAATATATACAGAATATATAAACATATATAAATTTACCCAAAACATAAAATTATATAAAAATAGTTTCATTTCTCTCATATATTACTTACGGTAATACATATTTGTTCATCTAACATTAATAATTAACTTTTTTTTTCTATTTTTTACTTTGTTAATTTGTATAAACTGATTATAATAAAACACAAAACTATTGAAAAAACGTTAAAATCCAACAAACAGGTTTAATCTTGAAGATCGTTTTTGAACATGAGCTCGATTTCCTTGGATGAGTGTGGATCTAGTCACGAATAAAAATAAAAAACGTGGACTGAATTCAAACCCATCCAAGGCCATCAAACAAATCCTTTGATTTATTAGCGAGGTTTAAACTTGATGAAACGTATATTATGTACGGAAAGATGTTTTAATGAAAATATGATGAGAAAGGAAATGCACGATCTAAACCAACAACGGAATCACGAGACAGAATGTGAAGGAATGATGCGTTTGAAAATGGAATTGCAGAAGTTGCTGGTAGGGGAATAAAGTAAACGGGCCCGGATTGGTGCGTCCCCCTACTCCTCTTATGTTACAAGTAAGGCCCTTAAGTGGGAAAGGGATCTTGCATCGAAATCATATACTAAAGATATTAACTTTGTGTGAATAATCTATTTTATTTAATTTCATATTTCATAATTTGTATATATTATAAGTTATTATTAAAATTACATTTTTGTATATATTTTTTAAATATATATATTATATATAATAATGAATATATATATATATACACATAATATTATAAAAAAAAAATTACAGTGAAAAATCAGTATATATAATATACAGTATTCTATATATATACATTATATCTCTTTTTCTTTATATATATATTTATTTCTATATACTTATATTTATATATATAAATCAAAAATACTAGGAAATTATATTATATTTCCCTACAATTTATTCTTACTGTACAATTTATAAATAGAATTTTTTTAATCCAATCTCAAAAATTCTTTAGTATAAATTAAAATTTTTTTAAGTTAAAATTATAATAATTCATTTTTTAACGAATTGTATTCTAAATAATATTATTTTAATTATTGAAATTCAAAATGTAAAGCTATATCAATTATATATTAAATATTTTAATCATTGTTTAAAGAATAATTATAATTCAAAAAATGAGATCATATGAATGATATTCTTTTTTGTAGAATATTTATACATTCTTATACATTCTGATTTCTAGTTACTTTTTTAATATTTATTTTGAATTTTTATATGTATATATGTATGATAAATAAAAAATGATATATAATAGAATAAATTTATATTCAAAAGCAAAAAATTTTCTATATATAATATAATAATGATAATTTTTTATAGTTCATTAAAAAGATATCTATTTAAGTTAATTATTGTATTTACAAAATATGGTTACAGAAATATGGTTAGAAATTATTTACGGTTATAAATCAAAGTTTTTTAAAAATATATAATACTAACATAGAATATTGAATATGTATTTAAATTAAAAAAAAGTTTAATAAATAATCAACATAGTTCATTTTATTATTATTGCAATTTAACCAAATTTATAATAAAAATCACTAGTTTTAGTCTAGTAAATGAGTTTCTTTTAAAAATATTATTTCATATTTTTAAAATAAATATGTATTACAGTATATTAAATTATATTATATTAATTTATAAAATTTTTAAAAATTTTTAATTCTATTATTTATATAAATTTCATAATAATATATTTATTTCCATTTATATTTATTTAACTAAATAAAATGTTCCTATGAAATAGAGAATATAGTAAACATATAGAACATTTATTTGTCTAATAATAATTTACCTGCACTGTATTGTACTTATATTAGGCGCTATAAACTTCTGTAGTGATAAGAAAACTGCTGTTTAAAGTGTAAAATGTTTTTTTTCAAGAAACATCAATGAAACAAAAATATTTTGAAAATGTCATATATGCATGTTTAAATAAGTCGGTAATGGTTTTACCGCGTTATGTTTTTATAAAGGTATACATATTTTTGTCATAGTCTTCCTAAAAAATACTGATTATTGTCAATTTCAAAGACAAAAAAGTACGTTGATCTTTTATAAAATATTGTGAAATATTGTAAAATATTATTCTATTTGCTAATTTTATAACAATTATTACATTGCTATTCTTTTTATTGTTATTAAATTATTTATTTTGAAATAATTACAAAATTAAATAATCTTCATATAAAAAATTAGGAATTCTTTTATAATATTGACCAATTTTATACATAATAATCCTTTTAACTTCTACGAAATTCGAAAAATAAAACATAATAATATAGCATAACAAAATATAAAATCTAAAGATTAATTAATTTTTATGTAATATAGATTTTTTTTTATTTAGATATATATTATTATAATATATCTTATTGAAAAAGATAATTTTTAGAAATATAGACATGAATACAACATTAAGTTCAATCGAGAGCAGCGGTGATAAACATCTACCAGAAACAACCGTACAAAGCATAGCTCAGAATTTAACTACTATGCAAAGTATACAAAATGCACAAAGTGTTGTTCAAAGTAATATACAGAATATTCAATCAACACAGACTATAGTAGGATCAGTTGGAACATCAACTAATCTTGTTGGAAAATCAATGTCAATGGATACAAATTCAAAATTACCTGTAATGAAACCTGTAGTTCCATCTGGTACCACTTCAACTTCAGAAACAATAAAATAACCACAACGGTAAAAATTATTTTTTATATTTGATTTAATATATTATTATTATAATGAAATTAATATAAAATATGAAACAATTTTTATATGATAAAAAATCTTAATAAATATTGATTATATTTCCACAGATTTGTTCAGTGGGCTCTACAGTAAGGATAATCTCACCAGGTATGTTAAGTACAGTAGAACGTCAAAATCAACCACAGGCTCAGCAATTATTACAACAAACACAGCAAGTATCAAATATGCCGGCAACTTATCATGTGCCTCGTGGTCCAGCTGCAGTTGCTAATATTTCTGCTCCAAGATCAACAGTGGCTACTCCAATTGTTAGAGCAAATACAGGACAAACTATACCTACTACAAGACCAGGGTATATATACATATATATATATATATATATATATATATACACATATATATTATATCATATTCAAAAGATATATATATAATATATCTTATAAAAATTTAAATTTTTTATCTTTTATTTATATAATTAAACATTAAATATTTTTGTAAATATAGCAGGTAAATAAAGTTTTTTTTAAGCATTTAATAAGTAGAAATCCATACTACTTTTTGCATATTTTAGAATAAATACAGCCATTTCAAATCCACAATGGCAACCTAAAACAACATCAGTTGTATATGCGCAACCACAAAGACATTCAACACCTCCAGTTAATCGAATTTCAAGGCCACCATCAACAGTATATACCAGTCAACAGCCTCGTTTAATTACACCTACAGGTCAAGGAAGATCTGTACAAGCCACAATGGTTACTGGAGTTCCTGGTACTCCATCCAGATTAATAGCACCAGTTCTTCAAGCAAATAATAGTATTACAAGATTACCGGTTACACAAAGTAGACCATCTGCTCCTCAAATATCAAATATATCACAAACTACACAACCTGGTAGATCTTCGACTCAAACTATTCAAGTAATTATTATATTTCATAATTAACTAATTAAATTATACTAGAAAATAATATTGATAAAATAAATAAAATTTAATCAGTCAAACAGGCCTTTGAGCACTGCAGGTATTGTAAATCGTATAGCTGTATCAGCACCTGTAGTTGGAACTGTAAATAGAGTAACTGCTTCAGCTTCAGTGACTGTTCAGCCAACAGTTGGAAGACAATTATCAATAAACACTGTTGCTTCTCCATCTACTGGAACTGTTAGTCGAATTGTAATTCCTTCTCAACAAGTAAGTATAGATGTATTATCACACTTATTATAATGTAAGAAATATTTTATTAGTGCTTTGAATATTGATTAGAATTGACCATATAATAGATACAACAGCAGCAGCAGCAGCAACAACAACAGCAGCCACAATCACAAACAATACCACGTGTTGTTCAAACAGTAACTTCTTTATCAAATCTTAATGCAGTATCACGTATAGTTGCTACAACAGCAAGTACATCAAATACAACAAGAATATCACAACCTACATCAACTACTGTTGCTAGAATTACTGGAATGTCTTTACATCCTTTACCTTTAGCACCTACAAGAGTTACATCAGCACCTGCTAAAACAGTACAGGCACAAAATATTGGACAAACTATACAAATCAAACCTACTCAACAATCTGGATTTCGCGTTTCTTCTACCAGTAATACAAATAACAATTCAAATACAACGCCTTCTCAATCGGCACAAGGACAATATTTACATCCACCACATACTGCAACTTATTATTCTTTTGAACCCACAGGTAAATCTATAATTTTTGTTGATTATTAATATGAATAGTTTTTGAAAAAATTTTTACTTTATGATATTATGCAGGAACATATACTCAATACCGTCAAACTCCAGTGAGATTACTTGTTGAACCTGGATATGATGAACCACACACTAAAACAAATGCATCTCCTCGACCTAGTATACTTAGAAAGAGAGATCATGACAATTCACCTATTAAAAGTATGAAATAAGAAAATTAAATGATATAAATGATTATATATATTATATATATATTATAAATATATATATATATTAATTAATTATTATATATATAAAACGATTATAAATGATTATATAATTATATAAAATCTTTATTATAATCTTCTATTTTTATTCTTTTTTATTTCATATTATTTTATATATTTATTGAAAAAAGTTAAAAATAATTTTAAATTTTTAGATGCAGCAAAAAATTTAGTTCCTGTACTTGCATCTTTACCTCCTGTTACAACATCTAGCCCACCATGTTCACCGAGAGGAGATCAAGATGGTGGAGGTTGTCAAAGTTCAGGATCTACTACAGTTTCTGCGACGTCATCACCTGGACTTGATGAAGAACCAGAACAATCTAGAATTACAATAAACCCAACAGTAGAAATGTCTCCTAGAAAAAAACCTCGAAAACAACAACTTACTGCAGTAGAATTAACTGAATCAAGATGTACAGAAGAAGAAATGCAATTTATTACAGAAGAAAGAATGAAAAAAGAGCATAAAGAAGAATCAAAAGAAAAATTATCAGAAAAAAGACAAACTTCAAACACACAATGCGATGTTATTAAATCTCCTATACAACAACCAACAGTCGCAATACGAACACGGCCTACACCTAGTTTATTAGGTTTGTGAAAGAAATGGATAATTATAATTATTATATATATATATATTAACAAAAAATCATTTCCAATATTATAGGGCCTTCTTGGAAGAACAGATGGGGTAGTAGACTTCATCATTATAGAAGACCAAGTGAAGTTAGACCTCGTGAAGAAAGACGACCTACAGTTGCAGAAATAGCTCAACAGAAACATGTATTACAGAAATTAAATGGTTGGAAAGTGTATCATCTTACAGCACAAATGGAAGATATTGCAGATCTTGAGAAACAAGTAAATATAGATTAATATAAAACATATATTTCTACAATAATATACGTTTAAAGTATAATGTAAAATTAATATAAAATAAAATTTTATAGGTTCATGAAAAATTGAAAACAACGTTAACTATACTTGAATCACAGCAAAATGTCAGAAATAGACAAGATGATGGTCTTGAACGTGTAAATGAATTGATCAAAGGAAATATGCAACGTAGTAGCTTAATTAGTGAAGGAATGACAGAAGCACGCACGCAACTTATTGCTATATTTCAACATAAAGGACCTATTACAGATATTTTACAACGATGCGGCAATAAACGGGCTCAAAAGAAACGAGATAAATGAGTTATTGTGCGTATTGAATTAACGTGAATATGTTTATAAAACATCCTTGCACGAGCAAGGTTTGAGAGGGCGTTATTTTTATCTGTGTCACAGAATCTATATTATAGGAACAAAATAAATGGTTTTATAAGTCTATGACATAATTATCACTCTCATGTTTATAATTTTATTATATAAATTTATGATTTTTAATTTTAATATAAAACATTCTTTTTTTTGTTTATACGTACATTTGGATTTGGATATATATGCATATATGCATATATATATATATATATGTATATATACTTTATAACCATATGCATATATATTTATTTTCAAGAAATATTTTAATATAATAAGTAAATAATTAAATATACATCTATGAAAAATCAAATAAAGATAAATCAATAATTATTTTATGAAATATGAGATATAGTATTGTGAAATTGTTTTGTCATATATTAGAAATTGATATATAAATCAATGTTACCATGGGAATAACATATCTTAAAGTCTATATTTAGCAACGTTAATATTATTATTCATTGTTTATTGGAATATTTTAAAATCTACAATTTGAATTTAATGTAATATAAAAATAATATAATCATGTGGTGGGGATACAGTCCTGCGTTAGATATACAGTTTGAAATTAATAAACATGAAATTAACTATCAAAGTAAATGTCTTGAGGTATTAATTGTAGGAGCTAGTGATGCAAGACATATTTTGAAGACATTAGCATCATCTTATTTATATAGTGATCGTATTATCATATATAATGTAATTGAATCAACATTAGAACAAGTGGCTAGATCTATTCTTTTATTAAATACTTGTTTAGAACAAATCTAGGTACGTATATCTATTTCTAAATTATATGCTGTAGTTGCTTTCATAGTAAATAAAATATTTTTCTTGTTTATTTTTATATAAACAAACAATTTTAAAAAAAAATGAAATATAAAAGGATTACAAGAGGCAACTCGGTATTATTTAGAAATATTTGGAAATACACTAATAAGACCTGCAACAGCCAAATATTTAATAAAGTCCTCTAATCAATTATCAAATATACCAATAAATATAATAAATTGTCCTTGGTTAAATTTGGAACAATTTAAACATAAAGATAGAGATCATTTAGAAGCAATTTTTAAGTAAGTTATATAAAAAATTAAAAATTTAAATTATTTTTATATTTTGCAAATTTCTACTGTATAAATTTGTTTCTAATTGTATATATGCATTATAAGATTTTGGCAACGTGCAACATGTGAAAATATTCCTATTGTTGAGTATTGGGATCAGAGAGTTAGAAGATCTTTGAAAACAAGATATGATTATCGAGAAGGTGTTTTTGATTGGGATTATCATATGATTTTAAAATCTAGAGGTATTTCTAACTTAACATTACAGGAATATAGGTATATATGTATATATTTATTAATTCTAAAATATCTATGAAATTTTATCATATTAATATATTTTTACTATTTAACTATCTCATTTCAATCATCAGATTCTGGAGAAATAATGGAATTGCATTCACTTGGTTAGAAGGTGAACCTGTTAGAAGTAATCCAACATTATTAAGCAATATAATACAATATGGACCTGGATTTATACATTACACTTACTTAGGAGACATTACAAATGGTCCTTTCTTCACTTGGATCTTAGAAGAAAAGAAAGATAATCATATGTAAGATATTAATTCTGAATTTTATAATTTTTATATAGTTTTAATATTAAAGCATTGAAAATAATAACAATATAATAGGAATAGAGCAACTGATATAGCTGAACGAGAAATTATGAGATCTATATATGAAATTAGGAATCAAGAATCAATATGTGAAGAATTTATTGCATCACATAGAGATCCATCTATACTAAATGGTACATTAGTAATTGAAACTCCTAATAAAGAAATAGAACAAGAATCATGGGAAATAGGAAGAAATAAATATAAAAAGAATAATATATCTTGGATAAATATTAAAAATCATAAAGTATTAAAAAATTTTATTTATGAATTATAAAATATATAAAATTTTGAATTTAATAAGTGTACTATATTAATTATAATCTACATTGCATTTTCAGATAATTTTTCACCCTGTTACATTTTTACAAACTTCTAAACACAAAATAGAATATCTTAATAGATTTGATTTCATCTGGGTAGCTCATAATATGGTGAAACAATTGCCCAATCTTATACCATTACTTAAAAAAAAGGAATAATGTTAGTGGAATTGCAAAAATACTTAGTAGAATTACGAAATGAACATTTACAAAATTTTGTAAACGAATTAAAAAGTATGGCGCAACAAAATGGATTACACGAAATTAATGATATAAGTGCTAAAGAACATTATGTTGCTAGGTTTTGTAAATAAACAATAATTTAAGTTATATTAATTTTTGTCCTAATTAATATTTTTAATATAATTAATCAGATATTATAAATATATATTTCATTATATTTATAATATATAATATATATATTTTTATGTATATCTTACATATTGTACAATTAAATATAATAAATTAATGATTTCCCATTTAAAATATAAATATATAATTTAAAGAAAAATTAATATTTAATAGAATAATATTAATACAATAATCATTATTAATATGATTTTCATCATATTTCCATGCATAACGAAATTAAAATAACTGATAAAACAAAAATTACTAAACGTTAAATATAGTGAAAAATTAAACATGGTTATGAGAATCACCCAAAATCGCGGGAAACGCGTCCTGTTTCTGCTTAGAGACCCGTGAGGTTGAGTTACAATTTTTTAATACTAAAAAGAGAAATAATTTATAAGACATCGAATTAATTTTTTTAGAAGTTTACATTCAATACGTATCAATTCCTATAGACTTATAAAAAATAGGTGTTGTTTCTGTAAGAAATAAAGTAGCCCTTGAAAATCGGCCATCGCAGCTATTTTCAGCGATAATGAAAATTGTTTTCTATTCGTGAATCCTTTATACACAAGTTCTAAAGTTTATATTGTGCTAATCAGTGAAGAAATATATGAGGTTTCATATCATTAAATTATTGTCTTCCTCAATAGACGAAGATGCTAAATTAGTTAGAAAACAATGAATACTATCAACAAAGCAAATAGCAAGGTGGGCATAATTGTTGAATCAAGATTTGGCGAATTCGACAGAAATTTGGAAATAACGAGCAATAATTTTGAGAATGATCAAATGGACATCAGTGTTAATTGTAACAAAACTTCACCTGGTAGAAGTCGTTATGGCAGAATAATAAAACCTAAGTCTCCTAAGAATGAGGTTGCCAGTTCTCCAAAGGCATGTTATGCCTCTTAAGATCAATTCTTTCTGATTAAAGATCAATATCATTTTTAACAAACTATGGTACTACACGTAGCATTCTTTAATGTTTTACTGTATATTTTTTTTGTGTATATGTGTATCTATTTGTGACATAGTATGATACCAATACATATACACATATGCATATATTTATGATATAATTATATGTTAATTGTTTTTCTTTCTTTGTTATTATATTTCTTTTAATTAAATATATTGATAAAAATATTCATTAATATAATGTTAATATATGTGACTTACAGAATTCTAAAATGCCAAAGAATCGAAAATATCAAAATTCATTTGATAGTAATGATAGTACTGATGAAAATAATACAACTAATGATATGGACGATACAAGTGATTCTTCTAATAGTTTAAATATCATGGAGGAAACTACTCCAAAATTAGTTGGTTCACCTATACAATGTAATTGGATTTTAGGTCAATTAGCATGGGCCAGAGTTGGTAATTTTCCTTTTTGGCCTTGTGTTATAACACTTGATCCAGTTTTAATGGTATATCATAGGTTAAAAGGTAAATTTTTATTTTTATATATTTATTAAAGTTATTAAAAAAATTATATGTAAGTTTTATTCAATGATATTTTGTATAATTTTTTATTCCTTTTAACTTTATTATTAATAAAAATGATTAATAATATGTAATTAAATTATAATTAAATTAATAATTTTAAGTTATATGTTAACATTATCTTTTAAAAAATATGTATTATTCATGAATATGCAATATATGTTATATTATAAATTATTTGTAGAAAGCTTTTCTTTTCTTTATTAATATTTTATAGCATAAATATAACAATCTTATGCCAATTGATACAAATTATATAAAATATATATGTATATGTTTGACCAGCTACTGCCAGATCACAAATACTAATGATACATGTCCAATACTTTGGTGATAAAGGACGTCATAGTTGGGTTTCATCAAATTCTATGATACCATTTACAAATCTTGCAGACTTTAAAAAATTATCAGAATCAATCACTGCAGAAGTTAAAAAAAGAGATGCAAAATATGCAGCAGCATTTATTGTAAAGCCTGGTATAAAATCAAAATGGGAAAGTGCGATTGAAGAAGCTATGGAAGTTCATCCTATGAGTAATGATGATAGAGCAAATATTTTTAAACCAAAGGAAAAAAATATAAAAAATAAATCATCAAAAGTATCTGAAGAAAAGGATAAAGTTAATAAAAGAAAACACTCAAGTGATTCAAATGGTCCTGATCTTAAACGTACTAAACAAGATAATGTAGGTATATGATTAAAATATTTATATACTATTATAACTAAATAACTAATAATAATAAATTATTATTAGCATATGATAGATATCATAAATATTTATATTGAATAATTTTATAGGTATGTGAGTTACATAAATCATTACAAGACAAAACAGATGGTACAAAATCAAATATACTCAAATACATTGAGAATGGTAAAAATCATTCAAAACTCAATTCAGATACTCCTCCATTATCTCCCTTAAGTCAAAGAGATTCAAATGATGAAGTTTCTCTCATGCAAAAAGTTGAGTTTCGAACTGAAGAAGATATAGATGGTGTTTTTGAGGTTTATTATGAACGAAATAGAGATATGTTAGAAGATGAATATCCAGATGCATCAGAACATGATATTAGAAAATATTTAAGAAAGACTTGGGATAATATGAATTCTTCTTTTCGCAAAAAGTATCGATCCTATGTAACTTCAGACACTTCTAATGTCCATGCAAAAGAAAATTCGTTAGATCAGGAAGATGATTTATTGATAGAAATAGATGGAAATACTAAAGATAATAAAAAAACTAAAATCAAAGTTGAAAAAGAAGAGATAAATATTTCAGAAACGAAAAAAATAGACCTTATAATCTTTTCAAAGGAATGAAACAAGAAAAAGTTTGTCAAATATGTGAAAAAACTGGAAAATTAACTAGGTGTAAAGGTCCTTGTTATTCGTATTTTCATCTTTCTTGTGTCAAACCAGGAGAGTCTAGTCCAGAACATTCCATTGATGAGAATATTATGGACGATAAGATTCTCGATGATATAAAGGAAATTAAACAAAATAATATTGATGATGATGAGAATAATGGTATAAAAAATTATTTATTATATCTTTTATATGTAACATTTAACTAAAATAAATGTTATTTCTAATTTTAGGCAAATCAGAAGAACAAGAAGATGAATTCTTCAAATGTATTGATTGTTTATCAGGAGTAGCACCTGCCTGTTTTATATGTAATGAAAGAGAAGGAGATAGAATAAGATGTTCTGTATTAGCTTGTGGCAAACATTATCATTCATCTTGCTTAAAATCATGGCCACAAGTAATGTTCAATAATAATAATATATATAATATATGTATATATAATCATGTAATATTTAAGTTAAAGTATATTATTTATAAATTTTTTTTGTTAGTCTCATTGGCAGGGAGGCCGTTTGACTTGTCCATATCACATATGTCATACATGCAGTTCAGACAATCCTCAGGATAGTCATTCAAGAGCTCCAAATGAGAAATTGGCACGATGTGTTCGTTGTCCTTCGTCTTATCATACATCTACATCTTGTTTACCTGCTGGTTCAGTGATTTTAACTGGTAGTCAAATAGTTTGTCCAAAGCATTATCAACCACCACAACCTCCAGTAAATGCAGCATGGTGTTTTTTATGTACAAGAGGTGGAAGTTTAATTTGTTGTGATACATGTCCAACATCATTTCATTTAGAATGTTTAGGTAACTATTTTTAAAGCAAGAATAATAAGTTTAATAACTTTAATAATAAATCATGGTTATTGTTATTTATAAATATTAATAATAAAATAAGATAATTAGTAAAATTAATTAAAATAATATATATATATATATATATATATAATAATTATATAACTTTGTAATAATACTTGTAGGTATCAATGCTCCTGATGGTGCATTTATTTGTGAAGATTGTGAAACAGGTAGATTGCCTTTGTATGGAGAAGTTGTTTGGGTTAAACTTGGTAATTATCGTTGGTGGCCATCTCGTATTTGTTATCCTCATGAAATTCCTGAAAATATAGAAGCTATAGCACATAGTCCTGGTAAATTTTGTGTAATGTTCTTGGGATCGAATAATTATCATTGGATTCATAGGTAAATATATTTCATTATTATTTTGTTTAAATTAAATATTAAAAAAGATGTTAAAATCAATAACTATTTTTCCACTTATAGAGGACGTGCTTTTTTGTATCAAGATGGTGATGCAAATATAAAACCACCAATCGGTAAAAAAAACAGAGATGATACTTATCGTAAGGCATTAGAAGAAGCCAATGAGATTCATCAGCGTTTAAAAATTGAAAGAGCTGCTGCTAAAGACCATGGACCACGTGGATTGAAACCTCCACATTATGTTAAATTAAAGGTATAATTGTGTATATGTATATATATGTATATATATATATATATATAATATATATGTATATATATACATATATGATATGCAGATATATATAAACAAATATGAATATTAATATGAATATTAATATGAATATTATATTAGAATATAATGTATAAATTTATGACGATTTCTCGTTGCTATATCTAAAGGTAATATCGCCAATCATACACTCTCATTAATATGTAAATCGATATACGAATATATATACGATATATATACGATATACGATTATTTCAATGGTCTTTTATATAATGAAGTTTCATTATTAGACTATTGATGATTATATGGTTTATTGATGATTATGATTATGTGGCAGCACTTTCTTTAAATAATGTAACGAGAAAATTACATTTATATCTATTTATAGGTGAATAAACCGGTTGGTAATGTAAAGCCAGTAGAAGTTGAAAGTATTGTTGCATGTGATTGTGATCCAGAATGGGAAAATCCATGTGCACCAGGAACAGATTGTCTTAATCGAATATTATTAGTTGAATGTAGTCCTGGCATTTGTCCAGCTGGTCCCAAATGTAACAATCAAGCATTTGTACGAAGACAATATCCAGCTATGGAACCATTTCATACTGTAGGACGTGGTTGGGGTCTTAGAAGTTTAGAACACATTAAAGCTGGACAGTTTGTTATAGAATATGTAGGTGAAGTTATAGATGAGGCTGAATACAAGCGAAGACTACATAGAAAAAAGGAATTAAAAAATGAGAATTTTTATTTTCTAACTATAGATAATAATAGAACAATCGATGCAGAACCAAAAGGCAATCTTAGTCGATTTATGAGTAAGTATATTTTATTTTTTATAAGTTAACATTTTCCAGAAATAAACAAATTTTTATGTTTCTTAATATATTACTTTTGTAGATCATTCATGTTCACCTAATTGTGAGACTCAAAAATGGACAGTAAATGGAGATACACGTATAGGTCTGTTTGCATTATGCGATATTGAGCCTGGCGAAGAATTGACTTTTAATTATAATTTAGCTTGTGATGGAGAAACTCGAAAACCTTGTTTATGTGGCGCATCAAATTGTAGTGGATTTATAGGTTTAAAAGTACAGAAACCGCAAGTAACAACACCTTCAATTCAACAAAAAAAAATTGAAAAATTTGATAAAATAAAACGTCAAAAAAGGTAAATGATAATATATATAAATACGCATATAGCGTTTTTCTTGATAAAAATAACAGAATAATATCTTTAGTTATATCCAATCGTATATGATAAATAAATTTAAAAAAAAATAGAATATTTATATTCTTTTTCATCATAATTATTATTTATATTAAATATCTCAAATCATTTATTTTTATTTGCAATAATTTATCATTATAGCATACAAATAATGTATAATAAAAATTGTAAAATAATTAGATCGAGAAAGCATGTACTATGCTGGAGTTGTGGACAAGAAATTGAAAAATTAGCAGAATTTGTCATTTGTGATCAAAAGACATGTAATAAGAAGTACCATAAAGCTTGTGTAATCATTGATGATACAGATTCAAGATTTAGTTGTCCTTGGCATCGCTGTGCAGAATGTCGCCGTAGAACATCTGCACATTGTTCCTTCTGTAGTGCTGCTTTTTGTCAAGGTAATATTTTATACTACATTTGTTTCATTTATTATTGCTCTCGTCATTAAAATTAATTATCATCAATAGTGCATCTGGATGGAAATCTATTTGAGTACAGCGAAAAGGGCGGTTTTGTTTGTAAACTGCATGAAAATATGGATATGCAGAGATCTTCTGTAGAAGATGAAAAAGATTATTCGGATAATGATACTGAAACAGACAAAGAATACTCGTCTACAGGTTCCAATAGTCCGTTATTAACAATGGAAAAATCAATACCAAGAGAACCATCACCAAGAGTTTCCATAGTGGAGGTGAGATGAATATTCTAATATTATAGTATTGGCATTGTAAATTGTCGGGGAAATTGAGTAATCTTTTTTGTGCATTTTGAGCTTTCATCTAAAACTATTTTAAGTTTTAATTTAAATATTGTTAGCTTTTGTTTGTTTATATTATTTATATAACAAAGATTAAACAAGTATAATTGATTACACAATTACAATGGTGGTGGTAAGCATGAAAAGGAAATATATATTAGTTATGAAGTTATGTATATAGAGTAATACATTTTTTAAAATATTCATTCGTTAATCAATCATTAGAAATATATGAAAAATAAAAATTTGTAAAAATACACATTGTTTTCAAATTTTTTCATCTTAAAAAATATATTTACATTGTGTTTCTATAATACTTTCAAAAATTTTTCTACAAATATAATATAGAATATGTTATAATATTTTATATCTGTGTAAAGATTTCAATTTTATCAAATAACGATTTATATTAATTCAAAAATAATATTATATGTTAATTTATTAACATATATAATGCTATATATATTATCTTACACATTTCTATTTGTATATAAAAAAATCATACTACAAAAGTATGTAATTAATATTTTAGAATTTTGTTTCAAACAAATATACAAATATATATTATTATTGATGTAATATTTATTGTTAAGATATTTCCGAAAGTAGACAAAAATTAACAATTAACTTCTTCTTCTTTTTTCTTTTTTTTTTTTTTTTTTTTTTTAATTTTTTTTTCACTGTTCCCAGCATCCTCTCCCTGACATTGGCAGTAGTGAGAAGTAGTAACAAACAAACATGTTCTGTTTAAGTTTATACGTTCAAGTGAGTGTATATTTTTTTGGTACTATCTCTTTGGACCTCTATATATGATCATAGTAAGAAAAAAGTATTTTGTAATTAACAAATAGCTTATAATAAATAGTTTAGTTTCTGTTATTTAATTATATAATTTAAAATATTAAGTAGTAAATAAATTTCTCTTGTATATAACAGATATTTAAATCCCACCAACTACATAAATTTCATTGTGGTTACTTTTTATTTTATTTATAGTATTTTCAGGCACGCAATTTGGTTTTAAATAATTTAAGTTTATCTTTTAAATTGTACTATATTTTCTAAATATTTATAAACAACAGTAATATTCCTTTTTTTTCTTAGAAAGTAAAAGGAATATTCATTTTATAATGAATATTTAATATATTTGTTTAAATATATTATTTTTTATAAAAACAATAGATAAAAAATATATTTTATAGGTTCATCCAAGTAGTGAAGAAAGTGAAGAATCTCAAAAAGAAGATGACGAAGAAATAATGCAGTTTGCTGATTTTATGCCTTGTGATTCAAAAAATATGAAAGGAAAAGAATTACACCGATTATCTCTAAGATTGAAAGGAGGGAAAGATCAGGTAGAAAAATTAAGTAATCTTACATCTAGTCAATTGGAGGCTATAATCGGTGGCAGTCTACTTGAGTGAACTATTTATCCTTATTAATTAGGATTAAACAATAAAATATATTTTAATGTGCATAGTCTCAAAATCTCCACAATTGATAAATCACGAATTATGTAATGATAAATGCGATACAACTGTGAACGCCAATATAGTAGTATTTGTAATTATATACATTGTTTGTAAAACACTCATTCCATGTCAAAGGGATCAGTTGAATAACAAATTTTAATAAATTCTAATTCTACTATCACGAAAATAAGTTTTATTTTTAATGATGATAATTTTGAATATATCTATGTTACATAATTTAATGAGTTATATACATATTCATACATTGCATTTATGAGTCATATGCATATGTATGTATATATATACGCGCTCGCATATATGCGACAAGCATTCATCTAATCGGATTGACATGGAATGTTTTTTTTTTTAATTTACGAATAATATAACATAGAATAAATGCATACATATTCATGCAATATTTTTTCCTTCTGTTTTAACATATAATTAGGTATCTAGAATTGTCATACTAATTCAATATTTTGAATTAATTTGGACGTTTATGTATGGATAAACTTTTGTGAAAGCAATGTTTATTTTGTACATTATATTTATACATTAGTTAAACATATTTTTTAAATCTTTTTTATATTGTAGCTTAAAATTCTTGTCCATTATATCATCATACCTATAAAATAATCATTGAAATAATTACATTTATTAAATTGTAATAACTATCTTCACACTGCCTTGTGAATTTTGAAATTTTCTATTATAAAATACGAGTTATTTTTAAGACTATTTACTATTACAAAATATTAATTAAATGAAATTTTTATCGAATATTGTAAAACATTTTATGTTTTCAATTAATTCATTTAAAATATGTAATCCATTTCATTTGTGAAAATAGAAATTTTATGATATATATTTAAAAAAATTGTCTAAAAAAGAAATTTATATAAATGTGAATATAGCGAAATGGACAATTTAATGTAAGTTTATTAGCCGCATTTTCCTTTATGTAATTTAAATTGTATATACACTAAATAAGCGTGCTATTTACAGAAATTAAAGGAAATTATTAGATGCTAACAATTTTTTTGTAATGAAAACAGAAATTTTAATCATTTCCCAATTTATAAAACATATTTAAATTTTAAAAACCGTTATTATCAATAATATATTAAAAAAAATAATTGTAAAAGATTAAATAATATACATAAAATTTTTTTTATTAATGAAAATAATATTCAAAATTATAGTAAAATTTTATTCAAATGTAGTACAATATCTACAATGTTAATATATATTGAATGGATAATTTAATTGTTCATAAGAATTATATGATCATCACATGATCAAAAATATGAAAGAAAATTGAAGAATATTGAATACTATTGAATTTTCTATTGCATTATTATTATACATATAACAATCAATGTCTTTTAACTTCAATATAATTAATTTAAATGAATATCAAATAAATCATAATAACATCAAACAAATTTTTTACTTCGCAAAACTTAATTTCAATATTTTTATGGGTTTTCAAAATGAAAAATTAAAATTATATATTCATTATATAATTTTTATCATACATGCTTTTTTCTTAATATACAAATAAATTGTTTTCATTTACAAAAAAACATTATTATCGTATTTATTTATACGATATAATGATATAAGAGTTTTTAATAATTAAATAGCATAAAATATTTCATTACTATTTTTTTAATTAAATTATTTCAATATATCGCTTATGTAATTAATATCAAATAATTCAAAAATTATTAAGCTTGTGATTCTTTACCATAATCTTGATAAAGTTTCGGACTATCTTGTATTGAAGAAATAGTGCTTTTTAAACTTGTTGGACTGAGATTAGAATTTGAACTTGTAGATATGGTTTCTTCTAATGAGGCCTGTTTTGTTCGTAACACAGGTGCAATAAAATTCTGACCAGCTGATAAATCTCTTTTTGGCATTTGTGTCTATATAGGAAAATTATTTTCTTATTATTTAAATAATTCTGATTAATTGATATGCTAAAAATTATAATAAAGTCGATTATGTTAAAAATTCTCAAAAATATACTTTAAACTTTGATGTGGATAAAGTAGCACCAGTGACAAGGCCTAAAATACTCGCGGCAAGTCCACTAAGTTGTACCGCAGCTAAAGGTGATAGTCCTCTTCTTACCAAACCTAAAGCTAATAGTGCAGCTTGAGCCAAAATTGGTGCAGCTCCAGTAGCACTTGCTGCTGCACCTGCTAATTGACCACCACCGATGCTTGGTCCATAAGCAAAACATAAATTGTGTCTATCCACCTATATAATATATAATATTTATCATAAATATAATATGCTTTTAATTATATATTATTTTTATGTAACATAAAATATTTTAACATACCAAATGTTTCACTACGAGATATAATAATCCAAAGGGTGTAATTAATGGACAAGCCAAACTATATACTGTTGTCATAGTAAAAACTAAGAGTAACCAAGCATAATGAGCACCTAATGGAAATTCCCATAATACTGCTTTTCTAACATGTATTCTTTCCGCTTTACTACGTGCTGCACATAATCTGAAGGTATATAATGCTAATTCTGGAAATCTGACTAATTCCAATCCACTTCCAAGTAAAGCTGCAGTGATTACATAATTTACAAATAAAGCACCTAAAAAACAAAAATTTTACATTGTTATGATTGTAAATTATATTTTATTAATTCTATTGTACCTTATCAGGTAAAAACACACAATCCCATCTTCCTGTGTCATTTGCTACATTTACAGTCCATTCCAAAAATGCTTGTGCACTTGTTAGACCTAAACTAGGTAATATAAGAACCATTAGTAACAAAAGAAGTAAGGTTTTCGTCATTACTGCTCGATTTAGACTACTTCTAGTCCAATGTCTAACTAATGATTCACTTCTTGATACTAATACAGGCATTAAAGCAGCCACACTAACTAATAATACAGTTGGAAGAAAATATGAGACTATTGGACTAAGATTCATAATTTTTCCTGTAATTGGTAATTTATTCAATGCAGTTACTATTACCTGAAAATGTTACGAGAATATAAAAAAATTTAGTAAAAAAAACAAAATAAGAATTATAACTATTTTAATTAAAAAAAGACTTACAGCTGGTGTAGTAAGAAAAAATAATATAATGCCCAATGCAAAATTTATTAAAACAGCATTCAGGTACCAACATGGTCTTGGTATACTTAGATTTTCCCAGAAAATATCAGAAGGTGTAGGAGCATAATCTACAACCCATTTTAAACTGGGCAAAGAACGTAAGTGTTTTCGCATAACTTTAGCTGTACCAGGTGTACCTTATTAATATTATTATTATTATTGATAGTGAAAATTGTTTTATATTATGAAATAAAATAATATTCAATAATTATTTTGAAATTATTTATAATTGATTTTGAATAAAATTTAATGTTATATATATATATATCATAAAATCATGATAAAATAGTAACTGACCTAGAGTCATAAAAGCTACTCCAAGAGGTCTATTTAGCGCTACTTTTTTTTCTTCTTCCACTAATACAGTCAATCGCATTTCTTCATTTGCATAAAATTCTCGAGCATCAACTTTCTGTAAAAAAAAATTGAAATTTTGTAAAACTTTAATTATTACAATAATTTTTTAAAAGAATTACATACATTTTTACAACAACAACCTATCACTTGACCACATGGATATGGATACATTTGTAATGGTTCTCTTTTTCTTGCATAATTTTCACAATATAAACGTGCTTGTTCGGCACAATCTTTTTCTATATTTAGTGTCGAAAGTCGTTTAATATCATAAGCTAATGTAATATCTTCTATTGTTAAAGTAGGAAAAGCTTGTCTACACAAAACAATATTATGAAAAAAATAAAGTTATTAAATTAACAATACTTATTATTATTAATTATAATATACATTATAAAATTAAATTTATACTTGAAATAATCAGTAAGACTTTGAATATTGCATTGATGTTTTGGTATTTCTGTAATTAATAACGTTCTAGCTGCCAATTCACCACCATGCCTGGAATCTCGTACCTTTTCAATAATATTATTATTTTAATCAAAAATTAAATATAATTTTATAACTTAATTTATTTATTCACAATTAATGAAATATACCTTTTTCAAGAAATGTCTCATAATGTATCCACCAATTGGTAAATAGCATAAAATTAAAATTGTATGCACCCAAATCCATGGAGACATTGGATCTAAATTTGATAATGTTGTATGACCAAATGTTGCTTCATCACCTTGCATATTACCATGAAAATTAATTGGTAATGCTATACATAATGATACAATAACCATTAAGCATGTTAAAATAATCAAATGACGTTCAAATGATATATAAAGTAAACCATCTGGTCCTGCTCGTTTTAATAATTCTTCATCACTAAAATTAAAGTTATAATATAATATATATATATCATATAAGTTTTATTAAAATGTTATATCATAATTTTAATATATTTTAAGTAGTTGATGTATTTACCTAACTTTAAATGCAATAACAATCCATGATAAAAAACCTCTATCAACTTGAGAAATTTGGGAATTAACAGAATTTTCTATACATATTGCTTCTGTATCTCTACCTTCATTATCTCCATAAAATAATTCCACCCATCGCTCATCTGTTTTGTTTAATAATGCAAGACGTCCATAATTCCATGCTTTTTTACGTAATAAACCAAACAAGATAACAAGGATCTGTTAAATTACATTATAATATTTCAAAAAAATTATTAAAAATATGTACATAAGATATATATATATTTATATAATTCTAAAAATATATTTTTTTTAATATAATTTTTACCAAAAAGCCAAAAAAATTCAGCAATAAATTTTCAGGAATGCCCGCATAGATATCAGGTAATATTATTGTTGAATTATGTCTTGGGATTGGAATACAAGTTTCAGTAGATGGAGTTTCACGTATTTCATGTAAGCTTGAGCTGTAATTTAAATAATAATAATCTTTTGCATGAAATTTATTTTTAAATATTTAATGTTAAAAAAGAATTTTTAATATAAAAAGTATATTTTTATATTTTTATAGTACATATTAATTTTATAAGATATCTGCAAGGAACATATAAATCCATTTCTAAAAAGAAGTAATATAAAAAGAATAAATATAAAATAATCATATTATTTTATTTAAATTATCCAATATAAAATAATAAAGATAAAAAAATAAAGAACGAAAGAAAGATAAAATATTAAATGTGTTGTATACTATTTTTTATTATATATAGATAAACAATGTTACTGAACAATTAACGAAATTTTCAAACAATTGAAATTACGAATTTACATAATTATAAGAAAACAGTAATAATATGATCAAAATATATAAAAAATTATATTTTATTAGTTATTTATTTATTTACTTACTGAAAATTTAAGTAGCCCATATTTGTTGATATATATATTTATGTATAATTAAGTAAATACAAAAGTACATATCAACAAATGTGTGTCAATTTGACACATTGTACCGATTCCATTAGATATAAGTAACAGCAAGTGTCGCGCTAACATAACCTAATCTAAATACAATGATTGCGCAAAGATAATACGATATGTTGAAATTTACAGAATTTTATTTAGATTTTATCAATTTTTTTTATCTGTTCAGATTGACTGATAACATGATAATTCATGATATCATATTTCAATAGATATGATTTAAATGTCTTAAAGAAATATTTTTAAAAAAATCTGAATTCTTGTGTTTTAAAACAATACAATAAATAACAAATTGTTAAAATAATAATAATAAATAAATTGAATAATAATGCAATATATTTGATATTTTTACTTTTAAAAATTATAAATTTATTTCTATCATTTTATTTTCATATATTTTTTTTTACAAAAAATTCAATAATTCAAATTTTTCTTTTTTCTAATGTATTAATGTTTGTAATGTATGTATAAATATACACATTAAAATTAAACAAGAAAAATTATTTATTAATTTAGAAAATATATATACGTATAAATAAAAATTAGTTTTATTTCTGATGAACAAAATTCTTATCTATAGTAAATATATAATATATACATAAATAAATAAATATATTATATAATTATATATAATTATATATAATATATTATATAAATATATTATATTAAATGCTATTATATTAATAAATAAATACAATGTTTTGTTTAATGGATATATGTTCATAGACATTATCATATATATATATTTATTAAATATATATCATAATATATTTATATTTACAATTTATTTCTTTTTATTTATATATGTGATATATAAATTTATATATATATTTATATGTATCAACTGATATTTGCTTTCGATATCCATTATTTTAAAAATATCAATATTTAAATTAATATTTATAATCGTTGGTATTGATTATATGGCTGTAATTCACCTGATGTGATACAATCTAAAATCCAAGTTTCTTTTAAACCTTCAACACCAATTATAATTTTTGCTATTTCTGGATTTTCAGTGATACAACCACCAGCAGCTTTTATAAGATCTTTTAATACATTATAAGGTGGTATTGTATTTTTTTCAACATATATGTATCCACAAGCAGTAAATAATTCTGGAACATAGGATTTTCCAAATAGTTGCCTATCTTTACGATTTTCCTAAAAAATTATATAAAAATATAAAATAGTAGTTCACTTTATAGCATAATGAATAAGATATAAATACTTATATAACTTGTCTCAGATAGAGACAACTTAAATATCTCTTTTTTTTTCATGTACAAAATGTTTATGGCATAATTTAAATAATTTTAAAAAATTTATTGAAGTAAAAGAGATATTTAAAATAATTTTTTTTATCCAAGACATTTCATATTTTAATATGATTTTATATATTTTATTTACCAAAACTGCTTTTGAAAAATGTGCCATTTCATATTTTTCTGGATTTAACCATGCATTGTTTTCTAAAGATTTTAAGATCCATTCAAAATTAACTAACCAACAGCCTCTTATAATACCATGTAACAGATTTATTGTACGTACACCTGTAGTTACTACATGTGTTGTACTTTTTGTAACTTTTAATTCAATCTTTGCTGAACCAAGAGCTCTAACAACATTTCTCACTATATCTTTATCTCTATAAACCAATATGAAATTATAGAATTGAAAATATATTTATTAAAATATAATAAAATATTTGATTAAAAATAATATGATTTTTTATCTTTTAAGTTGTAATGAATAAATTTTACCTACTCATTAGACAAACCGGTTGTAACAATATTCAATTTGTGCATTTGTTTTTTCTTTGCAAATTGAACAACAGATGATGTTTTTGTAGGTTGAAAATCAATTGATGAATTTCTTTCTAAAGTATAAATATGTGTTGTTTCTAATTTATGAACATTTTCTTTATTTTCTTTTAATTTTTTTAAAATATCTTCATTAACAATTTTTTTAATAACAATTTTTTTACTAACTAGTTTCTTTGTTTTTTTTTGTGTTTTACCATTATAATTTTTTTTTTTTTTATCAATGCATTCTGTATTATTTTTATTAACTATCTTTTTAATTTCATTTCTATTTTTTTTATGTTTTTTTTTAAATATTGAAAATGGAGGATATGAATATTCTTCATTTTGTACAGGAGAAAGTGATAATAATTGTGAAGATTCATGCAAAGGTAATAATTTCCTTTTACATTTTCTTTTATTATTTGATGTTACTGAATATTTCATATTTTGATTTGTTTCTGCTTTACTTTCATTAGTTGATTCTTGAATGATTATAGATGTTTTTGAGTCAATATGCGATATTTTACAAGATGAATTGTGCAAAATGATCGTATTATTTATATTACCACAATTATGAATTTTTTGTAAAATTACATCATTTTGATAAGGTATTTTGTAATTATTAGTTTTTTGCATATTGAAACTATTATTTTTTATATTTTGTAAGTTAAAAGTATTTTTTTTTTTTAATTAAATTTATATCATCAGTTGCATTGTTATTTTTTTGTAATTTCTTTGAAGTATCTAGTGATGTATTCATTTGTAATGAAGTACAAACAGTATTCACACTATCTTGTGTTGTCTCAAAATTTAATGCATATGTATCTTTTTGTTCATTTTCGAAATTTTTTTTATTTTCACAATCTTTTTGTTTATATTTATTTTTATATTTATTATAATCATTTATCTGATCAATAGATGTATTGACATTTAAAGAAGTTTGCATTGTATTTAACTCATCTGTTTCAACTAAATTTATATTTTTATTATTTCCTATCATTTTAAAATTTTCACATGAAAGTTGGCATGCATAACTGTTATACTGTTTTTGCAAATTATGTTTATTTTTAGAATGTTCTTCTTTTTCTATATCTAATAATTTATCATTTATCATTGTGGAACATGCAATTGGTATAAAATCATTTTCACTTTCAGAAATATTTAATATAAGAGAATTATCTTCATAATTAATACAATGATTTCTTTTTTCATTAGAATCACAAAATATTTTATTTTTCTTTAATTTTAATACATCATACTTATTATGATTTTTTTTTTCCAATTGTATAGAATGCTGTTTTATAGAATAACATTTTGAACTAATACTATTATCAATTATATTTATAACATCAAAATCTTTTTTTACATTAGAAAATTGTTTTTTGTTTGACTGTGTTATTTTTTTAATATCTTTTCTTTTATATTTGTTTTTTGGTGTATTACAAATACTTTGATTTAAATTATTTTTTCATTCTGACATTTGATTTTATTTGTAATATCTGACATTCTTAAAGACAATTCATTTTTTTTGTAGTTTCACATTTATTATCAATTATAAATTTACTTGAATGTTTATTTTTAACACATATTGTGCTTGCATTAATACATAATTCATCTTGTTTGTTAACTATTTGTTTATTTTTTATTTTTGAAAAAATATCATTTGGTACATTGTTTTCATTTATTTTTTCTAAAACTATATTAACATTTTTAAAAGGAATACCATAAGAAAGAATATTATCCACATCATGACTAGAATCTATTTGTTCAAGTGTATCATTGCCAGAATCTGATAAATTTGGAACACAACTTAAATTAACTTTCAGTGAACTTCTTTGATGACAGAAACTATTTGTATCATTTAAAATTGTCTGAATTTTCTTATTTTTGTTTACACTCATATTTTTTTGTTCTTATTTTTAAATCCAGATGTTTTGATGATCAAAAAAAAAATTTTTTTAAAGCTCTTTTAATTGACGATTTAAAGCATAGTTGTATTAACTTAACATTGAAATAGATTATTTATTTTAATATATAAATTTTTATATACATATAAAACATATTATAAACATATATTTTATATATTATTTACATTATTAAATAATTTCAAACATTTATATGTAATGTATTAATATTTATAAAATTATCTGATATTATATTTGAAAATGCTACATTCAACGAAACAAATCACTAGAAATACACTAGAATCACTATAAAACATTACGTGAAAAATGATTTAATTTTAATTTTAATATAGACACAAATATCTAAAAAATTTTGTAATTAATAATTTATTTATATTTGTAAGACTTATTATATATTTATATTTATTTTATAGATGTTTAATGATAATAAATTATAACATATCTGAAAATTAAATTTCAAAACAATATTTTACATAAAAATAAGATTGAAGATATTACCACACATATATAAAAATTATAGTCACTATAATTTTCACTGGTCACTAGTGATAGTGGAATAAATTTGAAGATAAGAATAAAAATTAATGCTTAGATTTATAACATATAGTATGATTCTTTTATAATTCACGTTGTATATCTCAATATAAAATTATTTACCGTAATCTTCCACAATTTTATAAAATATTTACTTTAATAATAATAAATAATTTTTTTGTAATAAATAATGAGAATGTAGTAAATTACATTATAATTCATTATATATTAAACATTAGATATACATTAAAATGTGAAATAATATTAAAAACAATATTATCAAAATTTATTATATATTTATATTTATTTATTTATATCTGATTTTATTTTTTTTTTTTATATTAACATAATATATTTAGTGTTATAAATTTATATATTTAATATTTTAAAAGAATAACAATTTAAAAGAAAAAAAAATTAAATGAATATTATTTAGATCAAACCTGTAAAATTAAATATATTTTTCTAAAAATAATATCAATAAATTTTCTTGATAAGCATTTAACACAAAAAATATAATCTTATAAAATTAATTTAAGAAGTTATTAAAGTTACATATGTATGTTATATATTTTTATATTATTATATTAACAATTTTATCATTTTATCACTTAATGCATTATTTAAATTATGAATAGGAAAAATAAATCGATATTAAAAAAAAAATAATTTTAAAATTACATGGCAATAGATTATGACAAAAATATATAAAAATAATATTTTTTTTATTTATGAACATAATATTATTGAATTAAACATGATTATATTCTTTTAAAAACATTAAAAAGATTATGTTTTTATATTTGTAAATAAAAACTAACAAAAGAAATTATTGTTAAATATTTAAAAAACAAAAAGATTAGAGAGATTATTTTTATTATTTTTTATCAATAATTCAATAACAAGATATACTGGTATTCTCCGATACTTTCTCTCTCTAATGATAGCAAAAAGAAGGAAAACTAATATATCTAAGCGATATTTAAATCATTCTTATTTAAATCTTATTTAAATCATTTAGGAGAAAAACTATTTTTAAATATGATATTTACAATGTATCAATCGATTATTTTAAAAATTATTTATTAATAACTAATTAATATTATTATATTATATATATATATATATATAGTATAATATTATTATATTATACTAATTAATAAAAGTCTAATATTTATTTTACATTTATTTACTATATACATTTATAATACTATCTTTTGCTTTGATTATTAAGCATAATTTCTAAATAAAACTGAATGTAAAAAATTTATTAATATGTGGTGCCGATGAATATCTTTGAAATTAATATTTAAAGTTAGATGCAGTTATGATGAATTATGAAAAATTATAATGCAAATGAAGATGTTAACATTTTGTAATAAAAATATTATAGAAAAAAATGAAAAACATAAATCATAAAAAAATATTACGAGTAGTTATTCACATGTATTAATAACATTAATGTAATAACGTAAAGATAAAACTTATCATTTCATTACTTAATTGGTGAATAATTTATTCGTTAAACAAATTCTCTATATTTTATAAAACACTGGAAAACTCGTCCATATTGCAATATATTATATTATTATTTACTTATCAAATATGTAAACTCATTTTATATCATTTAAAATAAGAATTTAAAACAAATTATATAATAATACTATAATAATATTATATTATATTTTATATCAATTATTTGTTTCATAAAAGAAATTGAAAATCCAAAAAATTTACATAATAATCGATAATTTTATTTATCAATAATTTTTATTTTTTTATTCCCTTATAATAATTAATAAAATAATACAAAAATAAATTTTTTTTATAAAACTCGATAAAATATAAAAAATTATTTCTAATTTTTTAAGAAGTCAATTCTTTTTTTAATATAACAGAAGATATAAGACCATATATAAAACCAAAGAAAATATTCATAAAAAGGAAAATACATTGGCAAATAATCAATATATGAATAATTTCTTTTTATTCAAGTTAATAAATATTTTCCATAATCAATCAAAGAAAAATTGAATCGTAATAAAACTGTGAAGGATCATTTTCGATAGATAAACATTAATAATATAACTATGTGTATATTTACTGAAACCTATGTTCTATGAAACATTGCACTGATCTATCTCCTTTCTCAGTATCATTCGAACCAGCGGTAGTATCATTAAACGTGCGCATCATGAAAATTCTTTTTATGAGGAAATGCTTTATTATTATTTCATTGTTTATTATAGTAATTCAAGAAAACCTTGCACAATATATTCCTCCGACACCAAGTGTAGAACCTCTCTATCCGATAGGATTACGAATGTCTATTGCTAGTAAGTAGAATTTCTTATGTTGTTTTTAATTTATTTTTTTAATATTATTTTATACAGTTCTATTATTCTATTTGAAATTTAATTTTAATTTTTTTTTTTAATGAAATTATTAATAAAGAGAATAAGAATTATTGAAAGCGAGAAGTATGAGGAAATATTTCTATTTAATGAATAGAGTTTCCTTATCTAGAAAATAATATTTAAAAGAAAAATAGAAATGATGTCATAATGTATGATTATAGTAATAATTATAGTATAATATTGCAATCTTAAAAATTTTTTAATTTTAGCTTTGAGAAACAAAAATTATATTTATTTTGTTCATTGAAGCATAAATAAATATTATTTATATAAATATTGAAAAATACTAAATAAAAATTTTCATTGAAATTTATTTATGTAAACGTAAAATAAAAAAACTAAATTAAATAAGGAAAATAAAAATAAAATTCTACAGAAAAAAGAATTCGATACGTAATAAAGTATATTAATATACGGCAATGTGATATATAACAATGTAATTATATTTTACAAAAATCAATTAAAACGAAACATTATTTATAACATAATATAATAATTTATAGATATATAAAAATTTTGTTTAAAATAATTAAAGTTCAATAATTCAATAATTAAATTATTTTTACAAACATAAAAAATTTTATGACAGAAAAATTTTTTTCCATTTAGATGAGGATGGCATCAGTTTAGTCGCGTATCATGTAAAATTTAACGATGATTTCTACAATCTCGAAGCAGGAACTATTGCCAGAGACATTATAAAACCACGTAATGGTCGTTGGGTATATGAGGATCGATCAACAAAATTAAAACTAGGCGATATAATTTATTATTGGGTTCACGTAGTTTATAATGGCCTTGGTTATAATTTACTTGATCAAAAACACGTAGTTAATGGTTCGTTTAAAATGAAAAAAATGGTTTTTATATAAATCGATTTTGTATAGCAATTATATCGGTTGCTTTTTTTTCAGAATTTTATAATTATGATGCTTCACCATATTCGAAAAAAAATGAAGAAAGTATTCCTGAAAAAAAGATTAATACTTGTACAGCATCTTCGCAAACTAAAATATTTGAAAATAATTCGAAAAATCAATTATTGAATAGGCAAATCTGCCCAGGTCAATTGATTTTTGAAGAGAATTTTGATTCTCTTAATACGACACGTTGGACGATTCTTGAACGCTTTGCAGGTCTTCCTGTAAGATAAAACGCAACATATTTTAAAAACGTATCGTTATAAAATAAAAAAAAATTAAATTACTAAAAAATTTAATTCAATAATAAAACAGTTTTTTCATCATTTCATTTTAGAATTATGAATTCGTCGTATACATGAATAATATCGAAAACGTGAAAGTTAAAGATGGTATTTTGCACATTAAACCAATTTTAACCAACGAGAAATATGGAGCAGACTTTATCCGAAGTAATAGTCTGACTTTAGAAAAGTAAAAATTTATTACAAAATCAATAAAGTATAATAATATTCATATTAAAAATCTTTAACATCTTTTTAGGTGTACAGGAATCGTTGAAAGCCAAGAATGCAAACGAGTCGCAATTGGATCACATATTATACCGCCTGTGATATCAGGACGATTAAATACTAAATCATCCTTTAATTTCCAATATGGTCGCATTCAAATTCGTGCTAAATTGCCTTGTGGTGATTGGTTATTTCCTTGTGAGTTTTATTCTACATTTTGTAAATAATCATTTATATTACTTATTCACATAATTCTAAATTGTTATATATACTGAAACAAATAATGTTTCTTTTCTGTTTAGAATTATAAAAAAAATGTTAAAGAATGTAATTTTTTTTTTAACTTCGATTAAGAAAAAAAAATAAAATGTTTTATGTAAATTATTTTCTATTACATATGAATTAAATATATATTTCTGTATATTTTGAATCATTATCATCAATATCAATTTAATAAAAATTTAAATTTTAATAAATAACTTGTTATTTTATTTCAGTGATTACCTTGGAAAGTACAGATATGTGCACAAAAAATTCATCGATTTATTGTGACATTGTAATAGTTCATTCAAACGGAAATTCTGTCCTTATATCACAAGATGGAAACGATTTGAGTGGACATTTTCTTTTAGGGGGTGCTCATGCAACAGATATAAATTCAAATGTTCCACAGGATAATAAATTAAATCTTCCCAAAAAGAAATCAGAAACTTTATGGTCAGACGGATATCATGTGTACGATTTAGAATGGAAACCTAATCAAATCATAGTTAAAGTTGATGGAGTAGAATATGGCCAACAAAATGTACCAGCATTGTACGATATTCCGGTTAGTAATAATTATCTGATAATAAATATTATTTTAAAATCCTTATTTTTTAATTCCATTCCATTTTCTTTCATACAATAGAATAACATTATTTTAAATCCATCATTGATATTATTAACAATTTTAAATGATTTATTACGATACATTCTATATTTTTCGTAGGTTTATATTAATATCGGTTTAGCCGTAGGAGGTCACACTATTTTTCCAGACAACTGCATCAGCGGTAACTATGTAAAACCTTGGAGAAATGTCGGATCGAAGGTATTTCTATTTAAACAATTTGATTTTTTTTTACCAAAAAAAAAAAAATTATTTAACAAAAACGTATATTTTAAACACAATATTATTAATTGTAGGCACTTTACCACTTCCACTTAGCAGAAAACGATTGGATAAAATCTTGGAAAGTGAGCGATATCGGTTTACACGTAGATTATATTAAAATCTGGGCGATTTAATTTTTTCTTCCATTTTTAACTCAAAAATATACTTAATCACTTATACTTATGCTTAAAAATATACTTAATCACTTTTTAATATACTATCCTTGGTTATATTTACATTCCTTCTTCGTTCATATAAATTAATAAGATATATAGCGATCAAAAAGGTGGTGGTGGTGGTACCAATATAGAAGGAGGTAACGGTTGTCGATAAGGCACGTCATCTGGATGAAAACCGGAGCCCAGTAATTCGATCAACCATTGACCTCGATAGCCATAACGTTTCTGATAATCAAGTGAGGCTCGAGGCCCATCTTCCGGTCTAAATTCGAACATTATTTTTTTTCTAGTATCCGGAGAAGCTATAATTCTTAGGAAAGTTTCTACACCGTTTCTTGGCCATTCCCAAAATCGTCCATTAGACCACAAAGTTCGAAGCATAGCTGTCCATCTTGAAGGGAACATATCGAACGGAAGTGTTCTAGCAACTCGGGTTGAAATAGTTCCACTGCACTCGATGATTATGCACAGCTGTATATGCAATAAAAGAATAATAAAATGATTTGCTCGCGCACTTTTAGTAAGTGTAGGTAACGATCAGTAAATATGATCGTAAGTCCACTTACCATACAGAATATTGTTAATGTGTGACTTGTGCGCTATTTTTTCTTTTTTTTTTTGTCTAAACCTCTACGTATGAACACAGGGAAAGTAATCCCATTGTTCATAGTGTCCACCAACCTTTATGTCTTCTGAGTGAGTGACAATTTCGTGCATAGAATACATTTTAACTTTTTCGTGATAGAATTGTCAATCGTTGGCAAAGACGTAGCATGATTTTTCAAATGATTCGCGCCACATTGTTCGACATCAGTTTTCTTTACTTTCACTGATTGCATTACGCCATATCACTACAATATACCAGATGATTTCTTTTCTATATGTATAGTCACCTTTGGAAGCGGAGTTAGTTGATATTCTACGCTTGTCCCGCGCTCGTCGTACCACGCTACCGACAACTCGAAGAGGAATAATATGGACTACACACGTAATTTGGTAGTTAGAGCTAATAGAAACTTTCTTAAGATAGTTATAGATAGAAAAATTATTTGTCTTTGATCTTTTTTTTTTGTTTTTGTCTTGCATAATTTTGCATAATTTCCCTAATTAATATAATGATTATATTATGTTCAAATCGAATGATTTTTGAAAATACAAATGCAAAATTGAGATGTCATAGTATCTTACGAATGAAATTTTTTTATATTTGAATGTAATTACTTTCACTTCGAAAAAGAAAGGAATAAATTATGTTTATGCATGAAATGTTTTACAATTAGCAAAGTATCGTAACTAATATGAATGAGCTTGAGAATGATTAAATTTATTTATGTCAGTAATTATTTTTGTATTTTTTTTTCTAATTAACATATAATATTAAAAAAATATTTAAAAAATTTAATAGTAAGCTTATAACGTAATAGTAAGCTTAAAAAAGATATAAAATTATAATTAAAATAATAATAAAATATACATATACGAAAATAAATATTATGAACTTTACATTCATATATGCAATTTTAAAAGATTATTATATTTATCGAATATATAAAAAATAATAATAATTCTAATAATTATAAAAAAATATGTATTTATATAAATATATATATTATTTTACATATATAGAATTAAGATTACACTGATAAATTTTTCTATATTATAGGTAATTTCGATTTTTCTTGTTCTATTGTTTAATAAGAACATATCAGATGCATTCAATATATACTTATTTATTCATGATTTTCTTCAATATAACATAGCAGGAACACCACTTTTTCACGAGGTAAGTTTAATATTCTGTGAAACAGAAAATTGCTATTTTAAAATTTTTTAAAAAAAAGAGAAAAAATACAAAAATAAGTATATAAAATTTACTTGCATTAAATTAATAATTATATAATAATCATTACATAGAAAACACAGTGGGATTTTGATCCAGAAATTGGAAAACAAAGACGAGTTAGATACGAACAGGAAAATGGTCATCATGGAGAATTTGCAATAGCGAAGTTAGGTATGGGAATCGGATACAAAGAACCATGGGCAGAGTCTGCACAAAAACTGATAAAAAACTCCTAATCTGTAAAAAACCAATGAAAATTATCTTAGTATATGTATTAAATTAATTGTAAAAATAGTAAATGTAAAAATGTGAAAATATTTTTATTAAATGTAAGTTGGATGTTATTATCTTAAATAAATTATGTATTGTATATATGTTAAATAATGTTACATATATTTCATTTTGATATATCTGTTAATCATTTTTTTCGTTCAATTATACGGATTATTTTTTTTTTAAACTTTCAAAAACAATATATATATATATATATATAATACATTCATAATTTTACATATTAATTCAAGTTGATATTCTTTAAGGATTAATTATATTTTATTCAAAAATCTATAATTGCTTTTTTTTTAAAACTTTTTTCAATAATTTATGATTTTTGACAATTTTAAGGTAAAATTTATTCTAAGATTGCATCATTGTAACTCCAAGAGGTACAAAGTACAAAGTATCCTGTTCGACTTTCACTTGATAAAAGATAAAGTGGGGAGAGAATGGAGAATTATAACGGATATCAGAATAAGGTAAGTAAAGACGGAATCAGAAAAACAGAGACTGACTGTATGGATTGTCGTATTATATCTTTCCTGTCGTATTTTTTAAATTAATCTGTTTTTTTCTTTTCAGTGAAAAAAAATATCAAAATAAAAAGCACACGTATATTTGGCGTGTTTAAATTTTGTGACTATTCAGAATTTTTATTCTACGAATTGAAAGTGTTTGTGTACATGCACTTTGTAATCGTTAAAATGGCAAGATATACTTATGTAAGTATATAGTAATAAATAAAAATAAATGTACGAATAAAAAATATATCAAATTAAAATTTTACACGTGTATTGAAAAGGATATCGGGAGCATGATAATTCTAATTAAAATAAATTTCAAAATTACTTCTTGGTCTATATAATATATATGTCATATAAAATGATACTTCTTTTTTTTTTTTTTCGTACTATTTATTATGAAACATTTAATAGATTCATCTAAAGTTATACGCTGAAATGTAGGACATTTTTTTATATATATTTTTTGTTTCGACATGTTAATATTAATTGAACTACTTTCAGACGACCGTCATCTTTGCAACAATAGCCATCACTTTTTTATTTGGATTACTCGTTGAAACCACAGCGACGATAGCTCAACCAAAGGCACCTAATTTTCAGTATTTTGAACGGTAAGAAATTAAAAAACATACAAATATTTATAAAGTTATGTTCGAAGTATATAAAAAATGAAGTGAGAACGGTAATTTGTTACACGACAATTATAAAAAAGATTATAAGTTACTTATATACATGTTAAATTACAATTAATATACAAGTTAAATTGATACAAAATGTATTAAGAAAACAATTGTTTAAAGCTATGAAACACAATTTTTTGATGAAAAAAAAATTACAGGATTGTAATAAATACCTGATTCACAGGCCTAAATATCGCTATCCATATTATGATGAAAATGGCAGAGGAAAATTACTCTATGGCTATGGAGGACCAGAATTATATCAATACAAAACTTATAGTGGCCTCGAAGGTATCCATTAAAATTAAAACAACAAGGAGCATTAAATTATAAATTATATATGAACAAATTAAAAATTAGTGATCGTTTGTGAAATAATGTGACATAATACATAGACGATTTTGTTTCCGATTACAAGAAAATAATTATATTTTATATTATAATAATTGTTAAGTAATAATAACATATTATACATATTTTCAATTTTTTATTATAATTATATTTTTTCTTGTCATCAGAAACATATCGAGTTACGTTATGGAATTAAAGAACATTACAAGATTGTTTATTCTTTTAATTATAACCAATTGTATTTTTAAATGCAATTGATCGATATGCTTAATTATGTCGTAAATATATGTTTCTTCTTCACGGATTATTATTTTTATTATTAGACACTGTGATCTATAATTATCGCGAAAGAAACGAATAAATATATTTATCTTAAGAGATAAATATTTTCATTAATGATATTTATCAATAAGATGAATGAAAAAATGTATTATATATTAGAATATTATGATTAATCAAGACAAAAATTACTATAAATACGATTACGAGTAATATTATTAAAATCGATCGTCTACGAAAAATTAGTGGAATGTGCATAGCATTTCTAGAATCTATGACATGTCTAATACAATTATTGTAAGGACGAGAAATGGCTAAATTCTAAGTCTAAAAACCTGATATCGTATATCAGAAAAGTCAGAAAAATTTGGAAAGATTAAAAAACGCAGTCATTTTAAATCTTAGTTAAACGCGCTTAATTAGATGCACAAATGTTTGTTTCGTGATAAGTGCATATACAAGTTTACAAGTATATAAGCATAATTGAGTATAGCGAGATAATATTGATAAACCAATCTACTACCCGCATAATGTGTGTTGGGTATTTTATTCCAAATGATCCTTGTCCGCCTTATCTTCGGCAGACTGTAACTGTCATACAAAATCCATCTCAGATTTATTATAATATTGTGTACCTGCTCGCCGTTTGAATAGTTGTCTCTCTATAAATTTCTTTATCTCGCTAATTATGAAAACACTTGATGTGAGTGCGACGAGAAACAAGATATCTATCAAAATTATAGAAAGAAATATTTTAAAAATTCAAATTTAAAAATAATAAATTTTAAAAATTATCTTAAAAAAATACATACCTATAGCTGAAAGAGCTTCGGTTTGAAAAACTCGTTGTAACGGTGGGAAATAGATCACTAACATCTGTCCTATTACTGATAATGCTACGGCTACCAGGAACATTTTGTTACTCCATAAACCAATAGTAAATATTGACTTGGTCTAAAATATTTATGTTATATTTAATAAATGAAAAATATATATTATAATATTTAATAATAAATTGCACAATTTTATTATTTTTTACCTGTGATCTGCAACTTAAAGCATTGAACATATCGAAAAAAACAAAACATGTAAATGTCATGGTTGTATCTCTTGCAGTATTACCATCAGTTCTCATCTGATAGAAATAAAATACAAAAAAACAGAATTAAAAGTTTAAAAGTAAAAATTAATATTTTTTATTATTATTATTATTTTATTATTTTATTTATTATAAAACTTACCTCTTTATTATAAACCCATAAAGTACCAATAATAATAATAGTAGCTGATAATAGTACATTAATAATAAGATGTCGCGTAATCATTGGTTCTTTTATATTACGTGGTTTCTGTTTTAATACATCTTTATCAACTGGTTCAACACCAAGACTATAAAAAATAATTGTATATATAAATATTGTAATATGATTTATTAAAAAGATTTTATCACTCTTAGATTACCTTTGAGCAGGTGGTCCATCCATAATAATATTTATCCAAAGAATTTGCATTGCGTTTAAAGGATTTGCAATACCCATTAAAGTAGCAAGTGCAATTAAAGATAGAGCAGCTATACTAGTACTCAATTGAAATCTTAAAAAATTTCGTATATTATGAAAAATTCCTTTTCCTTCCTCAATTGCAGCACTATAACACATGTTCACAATTAAAAATGAATAAATATAAAAAATATTGGCAATTAATAAAGAAGAAATTAATATTTACATGATAGTTTCAAAATCATCATCCACTAAAATCATGTCTGCAGCTTCTTTACAAACATCAGTACCATTTTTACCCATTGCTATGCCTATATCTGCTTTTTTCAAAGCAACACCATCATTAACGCCATCACCCGTCATACCTACTATATTTCCTTCCCTTTGTAAAGCTTTTACAATAGCCAATTTATGTTTAGGTGTGACCCGATAAAATACACTAACGTTATTAATACATTGTTCTAATTGATGTTCGGACATCAAATCAATTTCATCTCCAGAAATTAGCCGCGAATGAAGTACATCTAATCCAATCATACTTGCTAAAATAAGAAAATAAATACAATATATATAAATACAATATAATCTTCATATATTTTTATGAACTATGAAAAATTCGATGAATTCATATTATACCTATTGCAGATGCAGTTTCTTTAGCATCACCTGTAACCATTTTAACTTTAACACCGCTATTTATCAAAGTCGTTATAGATTCACGAACGTGTGGTCGTGGAGGATCGCATATACCAATAAGACCAACATACATTAAATCTTGTAATGATTTTCCACGTGCTAATCCAATTACTGTAAATATATTAAAAAATATTACATAAAAGGATTAAAATTATCAGTACATTAAAATATACCTCTTAATCCTTGCTGCCCAATTTCATAAGCTTCTGTTAAAAATTCTTCATCTTTTTTTTGATTCAAAGAATATTCTTGACCATTAACAGAATATTTGGTACATAATGGTAATATCTTATCCAAAGCACCTTTTACAAAATATATTTCTTGCTTATTCTATAACATATATGAAAAAATATATAAAACTTATAATAAATATTAATTTTTAATAAATGATATTAATATTTGAATAATTAAGAAATGTATTTTACCTCTCCATATTTCGGTGTACACTTCACAGCCATCATTTTTTGCTCAGATGAAAATGGATATTCTTGTAATCGCAAATACTTATCAGAAATTCCATACATTCCATATTTCATTGCTAATGCTATTAATGCACCTTCAGTTGGCTGACCGAGTAAAGTATCATTTTGTATTATTGCATTATTGCAAACACATCCTACTTCCAACATATTACTAATAGCATTGCGTGCAAGATTCATATTATCACATTTTCGAATTCGTACATCTCCTTTATCATTATAACCAGTCCCAGTAATATCAGCTATATATCCTTCTGATGTCACTAAAATTGTTGCAGTCATTTCATTCTTTGTAATGGTGCCTGTTTTATCGGAGCATATCACATTTACGCAACCTACACATTTAATAACATAATAATTATATATTTTGATTAAATTTGATAAATATTATATAACTATATTGTATACATTCATACCGAGTGTTTCTACTGTTGGTAATTTCTTTACTATAGCTTTTCTTTTAACCATTCTCATAACACCCAATGCTAAAGTTACAGTCACAACAATAGGCAAACCCTCTGGTATAGCTGCCACTGCCAAACTTACACTGATAGTAAGCATTTCAAGTAAAGCTTTGCCTTGGATCCAGCCAAGAAGCATAATAATACCAATAATGCAAAATGAATAAAAAGATAATTGAGTGCCCAAAATATGCATACTTCTTTGAAGTGGTGTTTTAGGAGCTTCTTCTGCTTGCATCATTGAAAAAACTTCTCCAAATTCACTTTTTTCTCCTGTATTTACTACTATACCCTACAGAATATTTTTTTATATATTTATAAATTATTATATAGACATTATAAATACTGAAATTTATTTGTTATAATAGAACTTACTTTCCCATTGCCACAACGCACTAATGTACCCATAAATGCAATATTCCTCTTTGTTGTCAATCCATTAGCTTTAAGTAATGGAGCTGTTGACTTTTGTGCTGGTTCAGTTTCTCCAGTAAAACTACTTTCATCAATTGCTAAATCTATTGCTTCAAATATCCTGACATCTGCAGGTACTCTATCACCAATATTTAAATAAACTATATCACCAGGAACTAAATTGCGAGCAAGAAATGTTTCTACTCGGCTTTCTCGTAAGCTGTAAAAAAATATTAAAAATATTATATTACCATTAAAATTGTTTAACATTAAAATATTCTAATATATTAAAACAATAAATAGGTCTAACTTCCATCCTCAACCTAGAACTGTGCATCTTTAAAATTGAATATTTTAAATAAATGTTGCAGGGAAAGAAATTTCACCTTATTGATCTATTGATTGGAATTGGATACTACATCTTCTTTTTTAAGAAAGTAAAGTAATACTCCATACAAAGGGTTAATATATCCTCCAAAGACCATATTTCTAGGAGAAATATTAATTTAAATAAATGCTACCAACAATTTTTAATTATACTTGACATAACTTTTATCTAATAAATATTTAATGAATAATCAAAATTGACTTACCAGTGACAAGTTGGTGGCACCAATTTATTTAATTCTTCTAAGGATTTTTCAGAACGGTATTCTTGTACAAATGCAACTGTCACTACTATTATAATAGCCTAAGAATATATGTAATTTATCAATATAATACTTATTAAAAGATAACTTAAAAACTATTTAATTAATAATAAAATTATCATGAAATACTTACCACTGTAATACTAACAGCATCATCAAACTGCCTCATACATACACTAACAAAGGCAGAAGCAAGAAGTAACAGAATTAGAGGATTTTTAAACTAAAAAAAAAAAAGAAAAGAAAAGATATATTTAATTACATAAATATTATATGTACATAATATTAATATACAAAGATAAATATACAAATACTTCTACCTGTTCAAGATATTTTTTCCATGTTGGTTCTTGTTCCTTAACACTAAATTCATTAAATCCAACTAACTGTTTTCGGTGGTCTGCCTCTTGCCACCAAAGACCTGTTCTTACATCAACATGCAACCTAGCTGCAACTTCCTCAGCACCAAGACTGGCTGCTTCAGCTGTTGTTAACCACATTACTGAAGTTTGATCTTTATCCTTAAAAAATTAAAATAACAATTTTTTTAGACAATAATCTCTCAGTTTTTTACCATTAATTTTTAAGATATATATAAGAACGAGTTTCTAACCTTTATCAAGAACTTTCATTCATTTTAAAACAATAGACAACAATATTAATAAAATTAGATGCATTATTTTTCAATATTTACTTTAAAAATATACGAAACTTCGATGTATGTATTTACAATATTCATAATACATTATTAAATTTATCTAAAAATCTTGCACATTCTTACGACTTATCAAATAAATTATCAATATATTCAAATATTAAAAATGTACAGATTAATTTTAATAATATTTTCCATTTGACTATACATAATGAGATACAAACTACAATGAATTAATCAATTTATTCACATTTTATAAATATAAAATAAAGTATCATTTAATGTCACATTAACATGTGTAAGTATTAATATTATCTTATACCATGTGATCACATTGTAATAAGATATTTATATAAACATATAAGAATGTATTCTAAACATAAAAAAAATTATTACTAATATTTAAGAAATATTTTTTCAAAAATAATTTTATCTCTCAATTTTTATAAATTTTAAAACTTGACAAAATTCATAAAACAATGAAAAATTGATGTGTTAAAATTATTTTCGAATATATCATGAATTTGTGCAATAAAACAGAAAATAAATAAAAATCTTTCTTTTCTTTTACAACAATATATAAACATATAAACATAATTATAAAATATATAAACATAAGTTGTTATCTAATTAAAAGGAATAATTTAATTACTTTTTAATTTTTTATTTTTTACTTTTAACTATAGCAACTTTTTAATCTATTAATTTATAATCTTCTATTTTTATTGATTGTATTCAAAAAATCAATTCAAAAAATCATCCAAAAAATTATTGAGTTCTAAAATAAAATTTATGTTGCATAGCTATAAGAATTATTAATATGAAATAGAATTCGCAAAAATAATGTAATTTTAATTATTTTTTGCAAATTTATATAACATTAATTTCGAAATTTATATTCTATAAATTGCAAATATTTCTCATTCTAGTGATTATCGATCCGTTTTTCTTAGAATGCACAAGGTCATATTGCTATACTTATTACCTTAGTTAAGTCAACATATTCAGAAAATTTCCTGTTATACTACTTTTGTTGTATACTTTTCGAAACACTATATATGTATATATATATTCAATAGAATAAAAGAATTTTTGATATATAGATGTTATATTAACAACAAACAAAATTTTATTTATAAATAAAATCATAATTAACAATATCAGTCTCAGCAGATACTATTGGTAGAGTAAGCATTCGATCGATACTGAAACATTTGAAGATTGCAATAAACTTTTCATATTAAGTAACATATATATACATATATATATATATATGTATACATGTATACGCATATAATATGCGTATAATATACACATGTATTCCAAATATTTATTTATTTTACATTATAAATATTTATATGTCTTAAATTCAATTGATTATTATTATTATTAAATAATCAAAAAAAATTGTATGAATATTTAATACTCGAATAATTATATAATAACATTAATTAAAATTTTTTTACCTCTTTTACCGGTGCATTTTTATTACGTTCCTTGTCAGTAGTTGTAGCAGCAGTATCAAGTTCATTATCTTCGAAAAGTTTTTCGTATTTATTACTTGCTGTGTCTTTCATTTCTTTTAAGCAACGTTTCGTTCTTCCTTTTTAAATATATGAACTTTTTAATTGGTAAATATAAAGTCACAATTATATTCGTTGCTTATTGTAATATTAAATTCCTGTTACGACAGGATTTTACGATATTTTGAATAAAATACGTAATAAATTATCAGTCCGGTTTTACAGTTTCAAAAAAATGAACATATAGTTCATGATCCAAATAAATTCCTGTCAAAATGTAATGACATAAAATATACATGTACATATATTAATGTATATTATATTATGTTTGTATAGAAATTAAATGCTGTCGAATTTTATTTACGCGAAAATCAAGCAAATAAATTTCTAACAATTTTTAATTTAATATATTCAAAAAAATAGTAAAAAAAATTATTATTTTTATAAATTTATTGAAATATATAGTAAGTCTAAACAAATTATTGAAGAATTTGATAAATTCGAAGAATTTCGATTATTATATCATATATGAATATATAATGATATAAATTATAATGATATGAATTAATTTTAAATATTAGTTTCATTAAAAAATCTAAAACTGTAAATTATTGCGATATTGATACTTTTTTTAACAAATATATAATATTACTCACTTTTATTTCTAATAAGCAATCGAAATGCAATGTTATTTTAAATACTCTTTTTAATCAAATATTGATTTAAAAAGAAAATGAGAAAAAATAATTTCAACTGAATACAATTGCTACTAACCTACTTTCAAATTAAACCAAAGATAACATCATCGATTTTCTGAAGAAATAAGTATAGATAGTATTCTAATGATTATTTTAAATAAAAATATTAAATATCTATTTGATTTACATTACAAAATAATTTAATTTAAATAATATTTATCAGAAAGAATAATATTAATTATATGTAATTAATTTGTGATATATAATAATCAAAATAACCTATTATTAATAAAAATAATATAATATTTAGTTTAGAGAAAAACATTGCAGCACTTTTAATGAATATTATACACGTGATAAAATGTTAAATAAAAACTTACTAATTATTTAATAAAAAATAATAAAAACTAGATAAAAAAATATGTATGATTTTATCTGTTATTGAAATACATTGATAATTGATTGAAATAAAATTGAATTGTTTCATTTTATTTGATATAATGAACTTAAGTAATGTATAATCAAACAAGCATATAACTACACAGTATTATTACAAATCGATAATAGAGATTCTTTTTGAGTATACATAAATGAATATAAAACTTTATATTTTCAAAAATATAAATAAAAAGATAAATGAATACGTACAAACGTATTTTATCCTTAAGGATTGCAAAATCCTTTTAATATCCGAGGCATGTCGAAGGATCTAATCCCGATGTGTTGGCAAGTGAAATACATAATAAATTGCTTATAAATTACAAATTCCGGATAATTATATTGCTTTTGAAACTTCGTTTCGATTGAATTAATAGGTTTGTCTTCAATAAGAAATTATTTATATATTTATAGAAAAAGATCACTACAAATACAATGTTCGATTGATGTATAATTACTGAATGACAAAGTGACAAGTAGTAGTAGCGAGAACGAACAGCGCTACTTACCGTACTCTGTTGGTACTGTGCTCAAAATGCAGCTATATAAATGTGCATGTATGTCATGCACATATACATTTCATCTTGTTATGTGATAAAAGTAGAACAGATGTGTTGATCCAACGTACGACGACCTTAAGTTGCTTCCAAATTCGTATATTTCTGCCGAATATTTAATTATACTGCAGTGTATTTACGTTTTCAACGTATAAAATAAAATAATATATTGAAAATTATGTATGCACAATCACTTGTAATGTTAAATATAGGATAATTTCAATATTATTCACATGAATTAAAAAATCAATATTAAGTGTATTGTTCAATAAAAAAGAATATAATTTTAGATTCTTATTTCTTAGTTTTTCATTACATAAGTTAAATACAGTACATGACAATTTAAACCATATAATTATTGATGTTAAATCTAATTAATAAAGATACTGATTAATCTAAAGATATTTTAAAACATAATAATGACATTTTGAGAACAAAAATATATAGAATTACATACAAGTGAAACGATAGAACTGGTTATTTAATTTTCCCGCTTATCACGTTGGTATAATATATACAATATTGTATTTAATTGGATCATGTAATTTATTAATGCTTATTAATTTACGTTACAATAAGATTTTTAATTAATTAAAAAGAGTTTTATATAGAATATAAATATATTTAATCTTATTTTTTTTCTTTTTTGAAACATAATAAAATATAATATGACTTATCAAATTAAAAATTGATAATGAAATAAAATAAAATAATCAAAATATTTATATAAATATGCATATATCGTTTGTTGCATTCATTTCTATTAATTGTTTATAAAATTGTCATTATTAAAATACTTCAAATTTTCAAAATAGAAAAATCAGTAAAATTTTATATTTTAATTATAAAAATTTTGATAATAATTTAAATGAAAACAGGATGGCGTTGTAATGCAAAAAATTATAAATAAATGTACCTATCTTTAGATCGATTGAACATTGAATTAGTCACTTAACGGCGGTAGTTTGTATACATGTTAAGTGCCGCGGAAAAATAACCTCTAATGGAAAAAATTAAATCCGTACAAAATAATATATCAAAATGTATCAAAACTATCTGTCCATCACCGGAACAACTTAGCATAATAACGAATAATATAAAATGCGAAAAATGTGGACTCGTATTTAAAAATGAACCGCGATATCGGTTACATGATCTTAAGGTACATCAGCGTAAAAATTTAGATAAAGCAATAAAAGAAAATGTACAATATCATTGTCCGGTAGAATCTTGTATTTATGCTCCAAAAGCAGAAAGACATTTTAGTACTATGAAATATCTTAAACAGGTTAGTGTTGTCATATAAAAATATCTTTTATCAAATATTTCAATTATGGCATAAAATTTAATATTTTAATATATATATTTAGCATTATCTTAAAGTACATGCAAAAAAAACACATGCATGTACTCGTTGTGACAAAAGCTTTTCTACTGAAGCAGCAAAGGAAGGACATATGAGAATATGTGGAATTGAATTCATATGTTCTTGTTTAAAAACTTATACTTCTTATGAAGCCTTGCTTACACATGCAAAACGGTCGTTACATAGTATAGATGATAAATATAAAAATTCTTTAAGGTAAATTAATCATCAAAAATAAATATTTTAATATTTTATTTTTTATATATATAAATATAATAGTATCAATATATAATAGTATCAATTTATATTAATCAACAATTTTACAGACGCACAAATTCTAAAGCAATGAGATTGATTTTACCAACTAGTCAAACGGAAATAAATAAATTAATTACAATACTACCGACAAATCAAAATGAAAATAGAATATCAGATAATAATGGTTCCATACAGAAATTAACATTAGATATTGGTATACAAACTGATGAATATAAAAAGAATAAAAGAATATCAAGTCCATTAAAACATATTAACAATAGTTATTATCATAATGGAAAACGTGGAATATCTAAACAAACGCAGACAAGTATTTTCCAAAAAGTTAAACAAAATGTAATATCCATGGAAACACAAACTACACAAGCTTCACAAGCATTTAAGAATTCATTGAAACTTCAGAAACATGGAAGAAATTCTGTATCTCAAAATTCTGATTATACACTGTTAAAAGAAGACCTTAATCTTGGCAATTTTACAGCTGCAAATTTATTTCCTGGTAGTCCATTACCACTTCGTCATGATGATGGATTACAAGATTTTTGGGAAGAAAAGAGTACATCAGGTACTCAAACAATACCTGAAAAAGACATGTTTGAGGTTCTAAATGATAATGTTACTCAAACAGAATTTGAAACATTTTACGAACATAGTACAAATCCATTAATGCAGTGTACTCCAAAGAGTACAGTTGCTTTAATGACTTTACCTTATGTTGAAGAAACGTCGAATGTTGAAGGATATTCTTTTGTATCTTCAGATAGCATATCACGATCAGATCCCATGCTTACAGACAAAACTTTTGATGACAAATTTAGCAGTATAGAAACTCAAACAGAACAAGCTTATTCATTTTTTGATTCAGATCCTTTAACTAGATCATTTGCTTTAAGTTCTATTGAAACACAAACTACAAATAATATTGATAACATGGAACAGCTATTATACAGTAATACATGCACGCAAACTTGCGATGAAATACTACCGACTGATCTAGGATTATCTAATATTCAAACACAAACACCTTGGACTCAACTCGAAGATACTACTGTTTCTGCTGAAACACAAACAAAATCTTTGATATGTGAAACAGGTTGTAATATTTCAATAGGTGCATGTCGTTCATGGTTGAGTACTCAAACTAGTCATACTGAAACACAAACTGATTTACTTAGTATTTTTGAAAGTCTTCAATAATAAAGTATTTAATTTTTGTGCAAATGGTGATATAACAATTGATATTTAAGTAATTTGCATTTGGTATTGTAAAATAAGACTAATTTTTCGTATTGTTATTTAGTACTTTGGTATTTTTTATATTTTATTACAAACTAATTATATGTATTTAAGTTCCTGTATATGTGCAATTTGTTAATGAAATATTACGTGCATTGATTGAGAACTGCATTTTTTTAAAAAGAATATTTTAAATTTACTGTATTATACAGTATCCACACTGCCATAATTTTAAAATATGTATTGTTTATACATATGTTTCCAGAATAAAATCATACACATTGCAGGCAATGTAGTTACATGTAACTTATTAAAATATTAATTTAAGATCCTCATAATGGAAAAAATATTATTAATTTTCAATTTAAATTTTAAGGGGGCAAATAAGCCTTGAAATTTTTTTTTAAAAATTAAACGTAATCTAATTTTAAATAAATAATTAAATTAATGAATTTAATGAAAAGGTATTTGAGATAATAATAATCAAATTATTGCAGCTCAAAATAAATTATTAATATAAAATTGATAAAATATTTTTATAAATATTGATCCACAAGTTTTAAAATGTTTATGATTGTTAATGTATTATGATGATATAAAATATTTTGTTATTATATTATAAATACATGATTTTGAAGTTTTCAACTTTTAATGTATTTAAATAGATGTATGATTTTTAGATTTAAATATTTGTAATCATTCGTATATCAACTTTCATACAAAGGCAACTTTCAAAAATTTAATTTCTTTGTATATATATGTATTGTTATTATACATTGTTTAGAAAAACATTTGTCAATCGTATAATTACAATCTTATTTATTAGGAGATTCATGTTTCTAAGACTCAAGAGTCATGTACCCCCTTAAATAGAAAAATACATGAAGAATCTTGTTTTGCTTTAAATTGTAATTGTTTAACTGATAGTTTCAACATTTACAAAGAAATTGAACATGTAATTTGAAACTGTACACGCAACATTGTTACAATAACTATTAAAATATTGTTTTTTTCTTTTTTTTCTTTTTTCTTTTTTTTTTTTTTTTTCTTTTTTTTTTTAATTAACTGCGTTGGAATTATGTACTGAATCCCAACCAGTGCTTTATGTTATGGCTTCATGTCAAAACATACATATAAAAGTTAAAATTAGTTTTTTTACTTGGAGTCGCATCGCGATAAATTACATTTAAGTTATTATTTTATTCATGTTTGTTGCTATGTATTAAAATTACACTTAAAAGGATATGCTTTGCCAAAATAGGTGATATATAATACACTTAGAATTGTTATGTAAGTCGAAATTGAAGAGCTATTATTATTACAAAGATACAACAAACATGATGTAAATATCGTGTTTCTCAATCGAATCGAATCACTAATCGACTCCAAAATGGATACTCAACGCAATTGCGTGAGTTCAAGGAACTTTTTAGCACAGGCTGGGATACATGTCATAGAAGTCAAATAAGGATAATATGCAGAAAAAGAAGTACACAAGAATGTATTAAAGTGCAGGACCAGCAGCATTATCCTCGTCAAAATCTGGTAGAAAATCTTTGGTCCGGTCTTCTATCCTATCCACATTTTCAAGTGCTGAAGCTAGTACTCTTAAATTGTCCACACCAGACATTAATTGTCTATAAATTTTAAATTTATATATTATAATATAAATTATATTTAGGATTTTCAAATTCAAATATCAATCTTTACCTCAAGGACACTTCAGCTGATGAAGCAGCATGTCTTAAATCACCAGCTAGCCTTCTTACTGTCTGATCTATATTTGAAGAACTATATTCACTTCTATTTCCTGCCGCAATTCCAGCTCTAAGTTCTTTGTTTTCTAATCGGAGTAACGATATTTCCGTCTGAATTGAGATTATATTTTATCATTTTATAATTAAATACATTATATATAAATATAACATATAATATATATATGTATAATATATATTTGAAAAATGACAAAAATTTATACCGTTAAAGATTTAATTTCTTTTTTCATTGATGAAATAGTACTTTCTGCATTTACCGCTCTTTTCTATAAAAAAAGTTATGATTATGAATATTGATTAAATATAACAAATATTCTTGTACTCACTGTACTACGTTTTAAATTATCTTCAACTTGTTCCATGGCTTTTTCAAGATGAATTGTTTCTTCATGATCTATTTCTTTTTTAGATGCCAATTCTAATTCTAGTAATTGAATTCTGTAATATATACATATAAATAAGAGAATATATTCTATAATTAAAAGACTTAAAAAAAATTATAAGAATTTAAAATATTTACCTCTGTGATTTTTCATTAATTTGTTTTTGAGCTAATTCTAACTCCTGTCGTAATCTTTCATTTTCCAACAATAACTAAAAAATAATTTATGAATATTATATATATTCATAATACTAATTATAAATATTACAATGAATATATTATAATGTAATATTTAATTTTATTCATACCCTCCTTTCTGTGGATTCTATACTATTTGGTATAGATCCAGATTCTGTTGACAATGTTGTCCTATTATGAATAGGACCATCATTTAAAAAATCTGGTAAAGATTTTGGAACATTTGCTTCATTTGCTCCTGAGTGAGAACAGTCTCTTACTGCAACATTTGATTCAGGATCAGGTTCAGTTGTGGATATTGGTAAATCTAATGGAAATCCTAAATAATAGAAGATTATAAATAAAAAATTTAAATTTATAAAAATTACTTAAACTATTCATAACAATATATCATTTAAATACCTAATGGTTCTGGATTTTCAGTAGGACCTATATTAGATCTAACAAAAACAGGTAAATTTAAATGAGAGGAACAACTTGTATTTGGTACAGATTGATTCTTTTGAAGTATTGCTTTGTCCAAATTTCCAGTTAAATCAAAAGAAAGATCACATGAAGTACTAGATTCATTTTTCTTTGATTCACTTCTGAGTCGAGTTTGTCTTTGTTCTACACTGTTTAATGCAAAATCAGGAAGATTATCTACATCTGAGATAGTTTGTTGTTTGGGCTCATGATTTAGATAATATTGCTCTACGACCAAGTGATCTTGTACAAAATCTGGTAATTCTGTTGGATTACGAGAATAAACAGTAGAACCTTTTTCTAAATTATATGGTGTTGGAGAAGTATAAACTTTTGGACGAGCTCCAGCATTCTGATAATTTACTTGTGAACCATTTTTTAAAAAATGCTTAAAACTAAAAGGATTTTCTTCGATTCTTGATGTATTTTGTCCTGTGAAAAATTAAAAAATAAGAAATATTAAGCTAATTATCAACTTAATTTTATTAACAAATAGCAGGTTAAATCTAACCTGTTTGGGATTCTGTTCCAGCACGATTTCTAGCAAAGTATTCTTTCGATGTGTTTCTACAACTCCGACATCCCGTTGTTACCTCTTCTTCAGAAGATGAAGATGATGAAAATATGATATTACGTCTTGGATATTTTGGTACGGATCGAGACGAATCATTACTTTTTTTACGATTCGCCATCATCTATGCAGAAGATCAACTTTACCGACAATCGTATCATTTGCAGTGCAGTCAAAACTGCACTTAACATTTGTCACTCGCTGACTGCAATCAGGTCAGGTTAGTTGTACGCAATTTTTTCTTCTTTTTCATCACTCAACGTGAATGTAGGAACAATGTATGTTTTGAGCTTTTCTCTCCATATCTTTTGCGTTTCGTAACACTATAACGTTATTATTACATTTCTTAACTGAAATGAGTCGCAAGTTGTTATATATAAAGGTATTTATTTATATATATGTCATATATCAATAGGTATTCAAAGAAAATTAATTAATAAGAAACTTATAATGAATTTGAATAATCGTGATTTAATAAATATTTATTATTAAATCGAATATGATGTGATACGATGTGATATATTTATGTTAGTTTTTCAATATAACAGGTGAACGAATAACTTTCATAAAAGAGGTTATCCTCCACGTGGAGATATTGTTAATTACAATAATTTTTAAACATATCTACGAATGTATACTTCGACTTTAGCAATAGAATGTCTAACGAAAAACCTTGTCGTGCGTGTATGGATTTTAAATCATGGGCAAAAAGTCAAAGAAAGAATTTGGAATTCGAAAAGGTATGAGAAAATAAAATTAATTATCTATCATTCTGTCAATTTCTTTTTTTAATAAAAAAAAATGTTTTTAATTTCATATTTATATTATATTAAAAAATATTACATCATTATATAAACCATATTCGAAATTAATAATTTAAGTTAATAATTTACAATAAATATTAAATATTTTAAAAAATCAAAAATATTACATTTAAATTATTGTACAATTGTCATAATACAATTCTCAAATATATTTTGTTTTGCCAGGAATCTGAGGAAAAGAAGAAGAAAAGTCCATCTGTAAATAAAGTTAAACGTAATGATTGTCCATTAGATAAAGATGAATTAGGTTCAGTAACATGGTCATTTTTACATACTATGGCAGCATATTATCCTAATAATCCAAGTGAAGAACAAAAATCAGATATGAAACAGTTTTTTCATATATTTTCTAAGTTTTATCCTTGCAATGTATGTGCAGAAGATTTACAGGAACAATTAAAACATTCCCCACCAGAAACTAATTCACAGGAACAATTGAGCCAATGGCTTTGCAAAATACATAATGAGGTAAATAGAAAACTTGGAAAACCAGAATTTGATTGTAAACTTGTTGATCAAAAGTGGAAATATGGTTGGCTTGATGGTTCATGCAATTGATGATCATTAATTACAATTGTAAATTTTGTAATGAAATCTATATGTGATATAAAACATCATGTAAGTTAATTATTGTAAATACTTTTGTTAGAGATGCTATAATAATTAAAATATTAGTATTATATATAAATTATTATTTACCAATGTCTAACTAATTAATTATTAAATATAATATTCTTTGTTAATTATGAACATTAAAGAAAATAATAAAATAAGAATTATTGTACAATTATAATTATATAGGTTATCATATATTTTAAGGTGTATGCTTATTATTAAGATTGTAAAATAGATGGTGTTAAATGTGAAATAGTGAATGCAGAACTTGCTGTACTAATATTGGGTTCATAACTGTGATCTTGTCCTTCACCACCAATTGGCATAACTTGACATGTTCTGATATGAAATGGAAAACGTTTATTAGCCATAGATGGTCTGGTGATATATAAAAATACTATATGTCCCATAAAAACAGTCCATAATGAACAGCCTTTAGCAACACTCTCTCTTACCCATTCATCTACTAATAAAGTAATGCAGAGTACCTATAAAATCATAAATATGTTTTTATATATTAAAAATAAATAAATTCTTTACAAGTATTTTATTACATAATATTTTGTTATGTATAGAATCAAATGTATATTTTTTATATACCGTTAACGGATGACATAAAAACCATGCTGATCCCAATGAAAATAATGAACCATAAAAGTGAAGTTTTGTTGACATTTTTCTAACAGTCTTAAAACAACGAAGAGAAAATATAATCCATGCAATCAACTTTAATATTATTAATCCATAGCCTGGTGGTGACTCATAAATATACAATACCAATCCAGGATCAAAGATATCAGATTGATAAATATACAATGAAAATTGACAAAAAGAAATCAAGCAAATAAAACATATGAGCCATCGAATTTGTTTTGATGTTAAAACACTTTTAGTTACTGTAAAACCAAGTGCTAATAATAACATAAGTATAGTATATAAAATATCTGAACATGCTTCTAAGAGTTGACCGAATAAAGAAGCACTTTCTATTGATATTCCTTTCAAACCAAGATTTATATAACTATAAATTTCAAATAATACTCCCACTAATTGACAAAATAATGAAGCCATAAATATTTTGTAAGATATATGTAATAATCTTCTTGCTCTTAATTGCATAGCTAAATAAAAACTTAATATTATAAGTATCACATAAATAAAAGCAATTGTTAATAATTCTGGCAGTATATCTGAAAAAAATGGATTTAAGTAAATAATATTAAATGATTTTAAATCAAGAGAATGTTACTTACAAAATTCATCTGCTGAAAAGTGTTCTTTCCAAAAATTTTCATGTGGTGCATTTGTTAATGATATCCAATATGAGATATTTAATCCACTTTTTGAAGAACAGTCTGCTAATGCAATGAACCACCATCTTGGACGAGATGATCGAAATCTACGATTACTGGAACATCGTATTACAGCATCTTTTTCGATGCATCCTGATTCTTCAAATGTTACTGTAGATAATGGTATCATTTGACCAATCCCATGCCAAAGTATAGATTCTTTTTCAATGCACGTTTTGTTCGAAGGATAAATGCTTGGCCATTGATCAGGTGCATCATAATATAATAATATTTTTAAATCTTCTTCTCTGCCTCCTAATTCAAATTTATACCGAAATATACCTTGTTCCGTTAAAAAGCAAAATCTTGCTAAAAATGCCCAATTCTAAAAAGAAAATTATTTTTATAGTAATATATTAAAAATTTTTATTATTTTTTTATAAACAAGATAATAGCATATTTTTTATGTTTACAATATATTTGGGGAATGAAAGTAAATCCGTAATTTTTTAAATGATACGAGACCTGCATAAAATAAACATCATGCGTTATTAGTGTTAAAGACATCATATATGATGTAAATAAGGATATAAGTAATTTATAAAGAAAACATCAATATTTCAAACGAAATTAATAAAAAGCAGTAAAAAATTAATTTTTACATTTACATTTAAATCGCACTAAATGTACAATATAGTTTCAATGAGAAATATATCTTTATATTGCAAATATAATGAAATATATAAATTATTTTATTTATCCTTTTTTGTATTGAAAATTATTATATAAAATTATTATAATTGAAATGATAAAATATATAATATTCTAATTAAAAAATTAAAGTTTATCTTTCATTTTCGAAAAATATTGCAAAAATTGATATATGTTATTATATTAATTATAAAAAATATAAAAAATTTTTCTTCTCTTTTCATTATTTTTTTTAGAAAAGAAACAATAGTTTATAATAAAGGAATATTTTATATATAAAATATAATATAATATAATATAATATAAAAATAATGTAGTATTGTAAAAATAATATAATGTAATATTTTTATTTAATTAAAATTAAACATAATTACAATTAATACATATTTTTAAAAAAAATTTTTTTTAAAATTAATATTATTAATATTATAAGATAGATTCAAAGATATAAGATTTAAAAGATTCAAAAAGATATTTATAATACTTCACGTGTTACAAGTTGTCCTTGAAGAATTTTATTCTCTGAATATGTTAATAAATATTGAAATATTATGAAAAAGAATGACAATATGTTGAACATAGTTGACACACGATTGTACAATTTTCCTGAATTGAAATAGTATCTACATATCTGCAATATGTTACCTTGCTGTTTTTCTCATGATCAATATTTCGTAGCCATTTAGAACTATGCATTTTAATTAATATATTAATATTTATATTGAGATATAAACATTTCAAATGAAATTTACAGAAAAAATCTTTAATAAAAGAAATATTAAAATTTAATAGCATAAATAAATTGAATTTCTGAATCATAATTCAAGAAATTAGAATTGATTTATTGTATGCTTTAATATATGCTTTTTATAACCTTGATATTTTTTTTTACTAATATGATGATAATAAAATATAATAAAACAATATATATAACTATATGTACACATAAATAAAATTAAGTAAAATTATGAAATTCAAATAATATTATTATATATATTTCTAAAAAAAAAGTATTATTAAATGTTTAAAGTTTATTAAAATTTAATAAAATATAATTTATAAGTATATGCAAATATAAAAAAATAAATATTATTTTATGTTATGTTAATTGATACTCTTTTATATATACGTTAATTTTTCAATATTTCCGATTAAATATCAATATATTATGTATATATGTTATTCAGTGTATATAAATAATGATATAACTTTAAAATATATATTAATATAATGTTTAATTTATTAAATTATTTCTTAAAAATGCAATATGATTAATTTTGTGTTTATATTTTGCTCATTTGTGATGTACAAGTATTTATATATATACATATAAATATACAAGTATTTATATTTATTTACTCAGTCAATATACATAAACTCAGTTACCGAACGAGCGCCATATGCTACGTAAGGGAATTGAATAACTTTTAATAGAATGGGTAATGTATGTACAGCAACTGTGTACGTGAAAAGATAAAAGTAAAAATATAATATAGTATTATGTATATATTAGTAAATCTATACATTTATTAAATTGATTTCTATTGCAACATATATATATATATATATATATATATGTGTGTGTGTGTGTTGTGTGTGTACTATAACAAAAATTCAAAGCTTAAAAATATAAAAATTATTAATCTTCATTAATTTCAATAGAGGTTATAAATAACGAAATGATTATGATAATAAAAAAAATAATCTTAATGGTTTTAAGAGTAAGTATATAATAATTTTTTTCAATAGAATATATTTATTTCTGAATAAATTTCAATATGATTCTTTAATTTTTTAGCAATGTGGATTCGATTTAATGAAGAAACTACTGACAAACATCAATTATTTTTTAAAGAACATTCGATTAGAAATCAAGAATCAAAACATCCTAGAGGAAGGACATTATTTATGTTAAATATTCCTCCTTATGTTACATCAAAAAATTTAAAGAAGATATTTAGTGATTTGTGTGGAATTGTTTCAAATGTTCATTTTATAATTTCTAAGGGATTCAAAACAGCATATATAATTTTTGAAAATGAATCTGATTTAGAGAAAGCATTAGAAATTTCTGATGACTATGTAATAACATTAAATGATGGGAAGAATTATTGTTTAACAGGAATAAGAAGTAAGTTAAACGAATTATATATGAATTTCTTTGGATAAAATATTTTATTTATTTATTTTAATTAATTATATAGAATGGTGTATTGAATATAATCGTTCTGTATGCAATGAAAAAAAAATGAAAAAGGAAATTGAAACTTATATGCAAAATTATGATAAAAGAATTGCTGAGAAAATAATAAAAGAAAAAGTTATGGAGGAAGAAGTACAAAATAATGATGGTTGGGTAACTGTAACAGGACGAAAAAAGAGAGGACAATTTGCACTTTCCAGAAAAGAATCTACAATTAATAAAGTACAACATAAAGAAGAACAAAAAAATAAAAAAAAACAGTTACTTAACTTTTATACTTTTCAAATTCGTGAGAGTAAAAAACAAAGTAAGTTTTATATCACATTGATTTTAATATATATGCATATAAGATTTTGATATTTAGAATATTATTAAACTTCTTTTTTTTTACAGATTTGGCAGAATTAAGAAAAAAATTTGAATTAGATAAAAAAAGATTACAAGATTTAAAATTAAAGAGAACATTTAAACCATTTTAACTTTTTATGTATAATATAAAATATATTTAATGATAGATATTTTTATAAAATATATATATCAAATTAATTATATAAACATTAAATAGATATTTATTATTTTGTTTACATTTATATTATGACATTACATATTAAATTTAAATTTATTTACAATTCCATAATGAAAATAATAATAATAATAGAAATTAAATTTATTAAGCAGCTTTGGATGCATAAGTCTGTAATGTCCATTCAATTAAAAAATGTTGATATGATAGAGGTTGTAACAAAGCCAATAATTCTTCTGTAAAAAAAATATGAATAAATTAATTTTTAATTAAAAATTAATTTTATAATAAAGAATTATAATATGTACGTTTGTTTCCATAAATACAATTTGCAGACATAGCTGCACTAACAGCTTGAGCAAGGCGTTCCATAGCTAAATCATGAGAAGTAGAATGAGATTGTAAATTAGTTGTCAAAATTCGAGTAGTAGCTGCAAAATGTTGTGCGGATATTGCATGTTTATTATTTCCACTATTTTTTAATCTTAATACTGAATCCATAAGCAATTGTTGAATTTTAGAATATAATTTTTTTTGTTCCTCTGAATATTCTGTATTTTCTATAGCGTTTGAACGTACAGGTGATAAAATACACCATCTAAAAAATGTAAAATTTAAAGTATAAATTTTTTATATTTAATTATGCAAAAAAATAATTATTTAAATTACCTAAATAAACCTGCAATTGGTGTTATTGGTGTCATTGGAATTCCACCAGTTGGTAAAGCAGGATTATCCATCAAAGGAGTTAATAATAAGCTTGGGTTTTCATCTATCCATTCTCCTACCAATCTGAGCAGTTCCGTAGGTGGATCTTTGTCTTCATAAACTTCACCTATTGCCGTTAGTAAGTTGGCAGTGAAATGTGATGCAAGAACAGGAAGCTGCTTCAACTTGTCAATAGATTTTGGAGTAAGGACAAAATAGTCATTAAGTACATGCCTTGCTAATCCTACACTCTGTGATGAAGTAGATCCTAATTGTTGCATCCAAATTCCAGTTGCATTCAAGACTGCTTTATTTTGAGTCGCAATGGATAAAGATACTAAATTGCCTAAGATTTTATATCTGGGACTATCTGCAGGAAAAAGAGATAAAAAAACTGCATTGCGCACAGCAGCACTTCCTCCAGGACTTTGAAAAAAATCGCTTAGAACTTCTATTAATTGCAATTCTTGTATTGCTATTGTCAAGTTACGTTTTTTTCGCCTTTCTATTTCTCCAAATACAAATTCCGATATTAAATCCAATTGTAAATCCATTTGTTTTCCAGGTCTGCTGCATAATATCTCTTCATAAAATAGCAATATAATAATAAAAAAGATGATAAAAATTATTAGACTTATAACCTAACCTATGTTAACTACTGTATTACCGATTTTGCATAATGCTTCTCTAGCGCAATAAGGAAAATCTAATTTACGTAAACTTTGTTTTATATCATTCCCTGCCATTAATGCATATATGCTATTATAATATGTGCATACATTTAAAAAAAATTACTTTTCATTACACTTAACAAGCCAGATTATCAAAACATTAAATGTATTTATTAAAGCTATTCTTCCGCATTTTCATGAATGCGATATGTTTTTTTTTATTAATGAAAAATGCATTTTGATTGATTCTTTTCATTTATTTGAATTGCTGTTATTAAATATCCAATAAACATGTAATTAAATTTGCATATATTTATAATAATTATAATATTACATATATTATAAAGCGCGAAAAAGAAAAATTTATTATAAATTTATATATTGTTTATATATTGAATCCCATATAAATATATATGTTTCAATATATATATTAAATATATATCATAAATTAGAAAAATCATAAATTTTTATTATATATACACATACACATATATAATTACATATATAATTACTTTTACATATTTAAATATAATATAAATTTAATTATTATTTATTTATTTAATATGATATAAAATTTTTTAAGTTTTAAATTTAAATAATATAATTTAAAATAATTTATAATTTTAAATTTATAATTTTAATTTTTTTAATAAAATATTTTTATATTTTAAAATACATGATATTAAAAACAATAATCTTTTTTCACTAAAGAATATAAAAAATATAAATATAAATAATTATAAAATAAAAAAAATTGAATTTATATTCAATATATTTTTGTAAAATATTTGAAAGATAAAAAAGATGAAAAGACTTAATATATATTTTGTATAAATATTCTATTCTTATTTATTTTAAATTTATATAAATAGTTTATTGAAATTTTATTTTGTGATATATATTTTATACATTTTTTTCAAAATAGCAATGAAATTTATCTTTTCTTACACTTCATATATAGAGGATTGGACTATTATATGTAGCGCCACCTTTGAGTAGGTTGCGAACCACATTGTTAGTCAAAACAATCGCCGAATTCAGGATCTATTTTTAGACAGCACGCACTAAGCTACAGTACTTTATCATTTTTCTTGTGCATTGAAAAAAAAGAAAAGATAGTTTTGGTGTTTTACTTAAGTGTCTTTCGATTTCGGGAAGGTTCAACGACCTCAGGATAATTGTGACAAGAGAGCGACCGGCCATGTTTATATCGTGGTGAATTTTAAGCTAGCGGCCCGTAATCTACAAGTAATATTCCACGTGTACTTGTTCAATACTCGTATCGTGTACCGTACGTCCAGCACGGTGTCTAAGGCTTTTGCGAGATGGAATCTAGCGAAAGAGGTGAGTATATGTGCATATAAATAAAATCATGACAATATTGAGTCTCTGACACAAATCGCGACCTGGGGGCAATGGCAGTGTCAGGGTCGAAACGGAACTAGTTCAGTGACCGCATTCGCGGTATTTGACCGCGATATTAGCGATGAATTTCTTTTTGGAGTTATCTTCTATTCATTTTGAACTCTTCATGATTATGACATTTCTCTTTGGAATAAGCTTCCTGTGAAATTAGTCTTTCAGTCAAATCTATGTCATGCATCTGACTTTTGATCTTGACTGTACTTTTCTCTCTTGGTTCAATTCTTACGCATATCTCATATAATATAATATGAATCTCATATAATATGAAGATAGAGATAGATAGATGTAGGAAGAAAGCATTATTTTTAATATCTATCGATAAACTTTTGGAATATTAATTTTTAACTATCCTATATTTTTTGACAGTATTCGATAAATAAAGTTAAAAAATACTTAAATTTTGAAAATTTTTACGTCTAATCTAATTTCATATCTAAATGTAATTTAATTCAAATTCAACCAAAATTTAACCTAACAAAAAAATATAACCTAGAACTCTAATCTAAACTTAAATTCTCTTACAAATATAAAGATTAAGATTATTATCTTATAAATGTATTCATTTTTACTAAGTCTATTATAAGTTTTGAAATAAAAATTATTTTTGAATTGCAAGTTTTTTAAAACTGATATTCTTGAATATTATTTATCGAGAACTGTCAGAAAAATATAGGAACCAATCAAAAATTTTTGTTATCTCTTTGAAGTTTAGTTTTTTTTTTAATTTATAAGTGATCAATTATTGGAAGGGATGTAGTTTATATTTTATGTTTTTCTGATATTTTTCTTTGAGGTGGCAAAGAAAGTCAGATAGCTATATTCTATATTACGCAATAATATAACATGTCTCTAACCTAGATAATCTATGTATAGTGAATTGAAGCCGCTTGACAGAGACACGTGAGAATTATTATCTCTCGACCGAGTCCGGCATGTGTTGCAATGTGGCGACACCTGTCGACTATTTGTGCACGTCCTACCTCAAGCTAGCGCGAATTAACCCTCTTTGTATTTGTTGCCGTTCAACCCTTTTGTTTTATAGATAAATAGAGCAATGTAACGAAGTAAACTATTTTTCTATTTAATAATAATCAAAATCAAATTAATAAAATAAGTAAAATACTATGCCAAAAAAATAATAAAAATTAATTGAAAGTTAATATTTGAAAGAAAAATTTGGGAAAAAATTCGATTAACTGTGCATCAATTGTAATTTGTTTTTTAATATTTTTTTCATATATTTTTTATTTATTTTATCATCAATGTTTTAATAATAAACATTATATAATATTAAAAAAATATTAAATATAAAATTGATATATATTTTGATTATAATATTATGATTATTATGATTAATATATTATGATTAATTTTATTTTAGTTTGTGTACGTTATTTAAATTCAGATAAATAAAGTTATAAAGTGTATTATTTAATTGAATATCAACAAAAGATTATTTTTAAAGATAAACTTATACATATATGCTATTTGAATTATATTTAATTCAAAAATAATTTCTTATCAAAGTTTTTATCAATATTTTTTTATTTTATTAAATTTTAATAAAATATTTTTTAAGTGGATGATTAATAAAATATAATGATTGTAGAAGTATACACTTTAGATGCTATTGGAGCCTTTTTTTTTCTTTTTAATCCATTTTTTATTTTTTTTTTCTAAAATCATTTTCTTTCCCTGTTAGACTCTTGTTATATAAATTCAAGGACAAACGTGATTGCACTCTCTTTCTTTATCTTTCTTTTTATTTCTTAGTTGTTTCTTTCTATTTTATTTCTGTCCGTGCCGGTAACATCGCCTTCCTAACCTGTCTCTTCTTTTTTTTCTCTTTTATTCTTTTAGTGCGCAATCTCGTATTCTTTCTTTTTTTTTTCTTTTATTCGGATATATTTTCCTTTTTTTGCTTCACTATTTCTTTATTATATTAAATTGTATATGTTGTGCATTCATTTCTCATTGATTTGCATTGCAATTGAATGTTGATCTTTCATGGAACATACATTTTTTTAACATACACAGTTGAATAATTTATGAAAAAGCATACTAGTTCGTTTTGAAAGAGAAATTATGCTCTTTATTATTGGATTCTTTCTTGTTCAATTTTAAAGAAAAGATATACTTCAAGATCAATTGTATAGTTTACACAGATAGAACATCCTTTCATTTGTAAGAGAAGATAAAAAAAAATAAACTCAAATAGTTCTGACCTATACTATACATTTTATCCTTGAAGCGATCCAAGATTATGATTATATAGAAATTATATAATTTTTTGGAGACTAGTTTTAATAAAACTTTTTTTTTCATTTCCGAATACACAATTGAATAGTATTTCTATTCAAATTTTATTTTATTAGAATTTTTATCTAGTTATGAATAGGAAAAACGAGAAAATTATTTAAAACTACAATTCATAATCATCATTTTTTTCATTTATACAATTTATTTTTATAATATATATCTTATTTTTATAATATATTATAAATACGATATAAAATAAATGATATATATTATATATATATTATAATATATATAATATATAGCTTATAATATATATCATTTCACGAATTATCATGAAATAAATTTTTTTTCGTTATATGTTCAAATATTTATAGACGATAATATAAATATTATTGATTCGTTATATTTAACGCGAACCATGAGAATGAATAATCGATGACCTTGCAGAAGATTATGCTCGTCCATCGGGTATCATACGATTTCGTCGTCCTCGGAGATAGAATTGCACGAATTCCCTTGTTAGTGAGAATTATACAGCGAATTAGATCCTGATTTTTATGAGATTATCGATAAATCTTAAATTAACACTTCATACGAAATCTCCTTTTAAAAATTTTATTCCTCTAAGAAATTTCTTCTTTAATGAAATAGTTTTAGTTTTAATGAATACAATAAGTTTTAAAAAAATATTTCAGAGATGTGCTAAACAAATTTCCGAAATTTCCTTTAAATAGAAATTTTTAAAAATATTTTACTAAATTTCAAAAATCCTAAGATGTTTCTTATTTCTAATAAAAAGTATATATTTTAATTAATATCTGATATAAATCGTGAATTTTATATGAAATTTAATAAAAATTATAAATTGATAACACAATAACAATAAAATGATAATTAAATAATAAATAAATTAATAATAAATAAACGTTGATAAAAATTAATCAGCATGTTATATCTATATATATTTAATTCTCGTATAGAGATTTATACTCTATACGAGAGTTTTTTAATGTTTACTTAATTCTTTCTAATTTTTACAATAAACATAATAGGTATTTAAGTAGAGATCTACATTAAAAAGATGATAATAGTAAATTCGAAGAATTTCCATGAAAAAAATTTTAAATCGTTCGTAACCAATGTTCCTCTTTCCCATTAGTTTCGCAGTCAATTTTCCATAAAAAATCAATCTCAAAATCATCGTATTTTCCCGTATGATTTAAAATATTTTTTGTATCTGTATGCTCATGAAAATAATCCTTGAAATTGTACGTGAATTTCGAGGATGCGATATAATTGCCAGGATGTTCTGACCCAATACGAGGAATCGAGTTGGGCTATCTAAACAGGCGAACGTGCGTGTCCGCCCACGCTTGAAGTTCTATCTTGTTAATTGGCATGGAAAACGTGTAATGGAATCCGTAGTTAACCGTAGTTGTTGCCGGTTCGAAATTAAATGCAACGGAGTACACACGCTATCCTCGTAAATTGGCGAAGCTCAGCCTTTAGAAATTGACGCCTTCGTTTGAAACTGGTCGAAACAATGCCAGGATCGCGTTTTTGTACCAATAACGTGATGTTTGCCGAATGATGAGTTTAACACGGTTGATTTGTTTTTAGAATGAATCCATTTCAATAATGAATTTTTAATCTTTGCATCAATAATCATGAATAATCTTTTGAAATACTTAAATCTTCATTATTTAATCCAGGCTTCGAAAGAAAGAAATTAAATTTCTTTATAATTATAATTCTTCGATAATTGTTTTTATTTGACTGAAGAGGTGTAATGAAATGGAATGGAATTAACGATTTGTTACATTTTCTTAATTATTTTAAAACTTTGAAAAGAAATCATTTGAACAAACCATTCATCGTTTCTTTATACTCAATGATGAATACCGTCTAAAAAAAAAAATCTAAAAATTTTTTTTACTTCTCGGTATAAGGTAAGAGACCTGTTTGCTCTTCGATACAGATGATAAGATTATCCCGCGATGAAGTCACGGTACAAATAAAGATAGATCGTCGTTGAAAAAATGAGAAAGAAATGAAAAGAGAAAAATAAAAGAAAGTTAAAAAAAAAAAAAAATGAAAAAGAAAATATAATCGCGGCGATACGTTTAACAAATTGCTCAAGATCGAGACGATGTTTCAACAATTGAAGAAAGGAACTTTCAGATAGATGGAGCCATAGTCGATTATCTTGATCGCTCGTTTCGCGCGGATTATACGCTTGTCTCATTTTTGATAAATATGCACAAGTTTGTCTCTCTCTTTTTCTCTTCTATTTTGAAATATAAATAGACGGGTACGAAGAGTTTATTGATCGCGATGCATTCAAGGTTTTGCAACGACAGTGCGCGATTATGTAAGCTATGCGTGCAATTATTGCGTTGTGTCGTGGTTCAAATATTTCTTGGGGGCAGGTGTATTCTGTATTCGATAAAATGATATATTCAGCATAAAAAACTACTTCTTCTTAAGAATTTTCATCTTTATAACTATCTTCTCAAGGATTTTTCTAGATAGAAGGATTTTTGATTGTCTTTTTTTTTTTTTTTCTAAATTTTTGTTTAACTTTGAAGATATATTGTTAATTTAATTATTTGATATTAAAGGAAAATAGGGATTACAGAATTATTGCGTGTTAGATGTGA